CAAATTAATCTAGTTATGCTCAGTGATTCTATTAATATTATTAACCCAAGTGCCCGTGCTCTCCCCTTGACAATTAAAATCATCTAGTGTTAGTAAAGTGATATTAGTAGGGTGCATTAGGGCACAATGCAACTTACTTTAATAGGTCAATATTACACTATTTGAAAAAATTACCTTTTAATATATAAGGTGAGTCTGCCACGTCTTTTCCATCGTACTTGACATTGATAATGAGCTCATCAACACTCTCGTAAGCTCGATAAAGAACAATAAATGAACCATCGTGACGATCCAACACTTGTCTCCAAGCTCTTACTCTGCCCCCGCCTTTTTTATTAACATCCACTTGGAAAGTATTATCTCCTGGTGATTCTTTTAAACTTTTAAAAACATTGAGGGGTGAAAAGATTTTAGTTGACATCAAAGTAATTGTCTGATGGGGTTGTTCCGGAAAAGGTCCACCCTGCCCCCAAGGAGGAAATTTCTGCCATCTGGAGGAGATTAGACAAATAATGGGGGTTAACTTCCAATTTCCTCTGTGAGGGAGGTATGGATGTTTTCTGGAATGACCCATTATCAGAGACACCTCACAGTGCTCACAACTTTACTGTCATATCGGATTGGAAGATGCGCTTCCCTTGGGGGCATTACCAGAATGCCAATATATATATACTCAATATATTGGGGATACCGGCTCAATATATCACTATACCTAAATTGCAGGTCTGTCTGCCTGAGTACTTAATTCTCGGTAAATGTGGGATACTTTATACCCATATTTCTACCTAGTTTAATTTAACAGTAAGGATACCAAGTAACTTTTTCTAAATATCAATATGGCTATCTGGTGTCAGTTTATAAGGTACATTTGCACATTGTGATTTGTCATGTATGATTAGTATTTCAGGCATATGTAATCGAATAAGCATGCGTAAAATAGTTACATTTCAAATTTCGCTGTGAACTAAACGAAGAGGAATTGTGGCAGTAATTTTCATATTGGCGAATATGAATTGTATCAGTTTATCTCTGGATAACCTTGACCTTGGCTCAAATTAATAAATCCAGTGATGAAAGGTGATAAATAAATTAACCAATCAACACCTTCCATGTATTAAAACATGTTAATTGCCCCTGCAAAATAACTTATTTGACCACACCACAATGTTTCAATAAAATACAACTCTGTTTACTTGATCCCTTCATCTTTTGTTTGTTTCCATCTGTTTATTTGGTACAATGTATTGTTTCAATTTTTGTATTTAAATACAATTTAATGTCGAAGCACAAAAAGTAAAAATCATGCAGTAAATCACTTACAGCTTCCCTTCCTTATCGGCAGCATGAATAAAGAAATATCTGGCAGGTAGAATGATATCGGTTTTCAAACCCGGACCCCAGACTTTGCTCTTCTTTGCATTCGGTATGCTACCAGAGGAAACACAACTCAGCAGAAAATAACACGATACTATCACAAAACCGTGAATATTCTTAAATACAGACATTGTTATACAATGGTTTTACGTTGATGAACATGATAATGATGCAGGTCCTGTCAATAAATATTTATATAAGTTTTAATTTGAATATATTGCACAGCAGGGAAGCCCCCGAAGCTGTTTATGTTGGGATTCGTGGGGTTTTGGTCGAGTATTTGGGATGGAATATTAGATATTTAGGGACTTCGCTTATATACTTGTGTGGTTTTATTAGGATATTTGGGAATCAAATACAAACAAGCTAATAACAAACAGACAATTAAATAAATACACGTGTGAACAAACGGACAAACAGACAAATCAATCACAAACAGACAAGTAAATAAACATGTGATTGACATGCAAAACAAACGGACAAACAGACAAGTTTTTTCGGTTTGTCTGTTTGTTTGCATATCAATCACAGGTTTGTCTGTTTGTTGATTGGCTTGTCTGTTTGTCCGTTTGTTTGCGTGTCAATCACATGTTTATTTACTTGTCTGTTTGTTGATTGACTTGTCTGTTTGTCCGTTTGTTTGCATATTAATCACATGTTTATTTACTTGTCCGTTTGTTGATTGGCTTGTCTGTTTGTCCGTTTGTTCACATAATAATCACATGTTTATTTACTGTCTGTTTGTTTGTTTGTTTGTTTGTTTGTTTGTTTGTTTGTTTGTTTGTTTGTTTGTTTGTTTGTTTGTTTGTCTGTCTGTCTGTCTGTCTGTCTGTCTGTCTGTTTGTTTGTTTGTTTGTTTGTTTGTTTGTTTGTTTGTTTGTTTGTTTGTTTGTTTGTTTGTTTGTTTGTTTGTTTGTTTGTTGATTGCAGACTTGTAACAACTTGTGCGTTTTTACGTGTGTAGCAAGTCTGCCAACAAGCCGTCAACAAGTTGTGTTCGCACTGCTTGTCCCAAGTTGTCCACAAGTTTTGACGGCTTGTAGCATAGCTTGTAGGCAGACTTGTTACAAGATGTGAGATTTTTACGCGTGATTTGTTGATTGGCTTGTCTGTTTGTCTGTCTGTTTTATTTGTTTGTCTGTTTGTAACTTGTAAGCATATGGATCGAACAGGATGTTTAGGGATATTGGGGATCATGAGCTCTTATGGGATTTTAGGGATTAAGAAGGAAGGATTAAGGATATCATGTGTTTCGTATGGATTTATGAGGATAGTTTTGGACTAGATGACGAAATTCAGCAATGGAGGACTTGAAAGAGGAAGGTTTGAGAAATCGTTTATTTGCATGCTTTTATATAACGTCTTAGCCCGTATATTTTGTTTTTTAATTCTACAAGGTGTAAAGTAAATATTTATGTGAATATACGAGCACTATATATCTGGTTTAGTGTAGATTTTAGCCCATAAAATGTTGTGTTTTTGAACCTAATTAGTATGCAATAATAGAGTATTAGGGCTGTTGTTTTGTTTCATTTTTCATTGAGCAATGTTGCGTATTGTGTAGATATTTGTCGGGTCTGTCGTGCTGAAGGGACGAAGGAGAAGCCACTGTATCATCCGTGTATCTGTACTGGCAGCATAAAATATATACACCAAGAATGGTTAGTCTGCAAGTTTCGTAGTTTTTTTGTTTACAATTTTTGGCATAGTGAAATTTTGTTCATTTTCTGAGGCCAGTAGGTGGTTGTCGGCAGACGTGCAGCATATTGTGCTCAGCTGGCAGAAAATATTATTAATTCATTTGATTCTATGTAGTGTTTTGTATTCAGTGGCAAATATAAACATAATTGAGAAGATATAGTTTTATTTTCTTGTTTTTGTCTATAAAATGTCAACATTTCGTCATTTTTAAAGTTGACAGCCATCTACTGATTCGTGACACCTAATGAAATCTGTTAATAAAGGTGTATTTGCTTGCTTGAATCTTAGCCCTAGACAGACAGCTTTATCATATAGTGTGTAGCTGTTTGTGTCTTGTCTTTCCCCATTGCTAGGCCAACAGGGTCATTCCTTGGAAATTCCCAGCTAATATCTCTATTACATATTAATCTTTTTCTATCTCTAGCTTGGTTCAATGGTTAAAACACAGCAAAAAAGAGTAAGACACACAACACTATTACTTTGATATATGCTCTGTAAAATTGTGAAGTTATTATCCCTTGTTTTAAATTTTTTTAATAATTTGCCAAAATTATAATTTGACATACTTGTATTATATATTTCAGATATTGTGAACTATGTACTCATCGTTTTACTTTCAAACCAAGTATGTACAAGTCAAAATTCTGTTGATTAAACATTTAATCTGTTGATTCAATTATGTTGACTAAATTAAATATGAAATCCATGCCATAAAAGTCACAACCCTCCCCCACCCGTAAAATTGTTTTATGTAATTTTTTCTAATTAATGCATTGTTAATTTTGTAGTATATGCACCAGATATGCCAACAAGACTTCCTGTCACAGACTTTGTGAGTGGTTTAATACGAACAGTATTACGAGCTGTCCGTTTCTGGTTTCATTACATCTTGGTTGCTTTTGCATGGCTTGGAGTTGTCCCCCTCACTGCTTGTAAGTATGAAGAATTGATGCAGTGATTTACTGAAAATTGTATTTTTGATTGAACCTTTCTATTTTAGACCGAATTTACCGATGTTTGTTTGCCGGGACTGTGAGCTCCTTACTCACATTGCCACTGGACATGCTTTCCACGTACGTAAATGATAATTTGATCTGTATGTGTCCTAACCCCCTCCCTTTTAAATAAGGTCCTGGCCCTCTGTAATAAGTACCTCCTTTTTAGAGGAAGAGATTTACGTATTAACTCATTAAAAGCTGCATTGGATCCTAATACACTTCCTACCTTATTATTTTACTCTGTGTGACCCCAGATTTTAAATGATGTTGAAACTTTTCATTTAGTGAAAATCTGATACCAGATTGTATCAAAGGATGTTTTGTTGTTGCCTGTACCCTGTGTGCCTTCATAAGTCTTGTCTGGTTACGAGAACAGATTGTGATGAACGGAGGACCAGCTTGGCTTGAACCTCGCGAAGACAATGTCGAGGTAGCTAATGACCAGGTTGCGGAAAATTTAGTTAACGCAGGTGTTAATCAGGTAAGCCTGGATTAATTAGGATTTTTGCAACTTTTAATAGAGATGCCGACGAAAGCAATGATCTGCATAATCTGTTTCCTATTCCCCTCAAAAATTGATATCCCCATCTCTGGATGATTTGCATCCCATGAAAAATAATTTCCCACTCCCCCACCTCTGGACATCCCCAGGAATTTCTGCACACCCCCCCCCCCCTAGAAAGACTGTCCACCCCCACCCCCTCAGAAGATTTTCACCCCCTTGGAAAATATTCTCCTGCACTAGAAATTGTGCACCCATCTGCTAAAAAATGTGTCCACCCCCACCCCCCAGAAGAATTGTATCCCTTGGAAAATATTCTAGGAATTGTCCCTACCAAATGAGGCTAGACCCACCCATGTTCTTTCCCCACTCTAGGATGGAGGTCTGGGTGAAAATGAGGCTGTGGTGGGTGAAGAAGGACAAGCAGTCAATGATGCAGCTGTAGCTGCTAATGCTCCAGAAGGTCAGTGTTGTATTTGTATTTCCAGACAGGCTGTTATCATTCCTATTGGTGGCTTTATCATCCTCCAGTTCAGTGCACATGGAGGGCATTTAAACAAAAGAATCTCATTAGAATCACATTATTTGACCTCCAACTGCCTTTGTGTTGAATTGCTTGAAACTTGCTTGTGTTGCTTCTCCACATGACATCCAGTGAGAACCAATGGTGCAGTACAGAATGAAACTAAAGTACCTGGGGAAAACCTTAAACGTCACTTACATCAACTTTCTTTCATGCTTAGATGAGAACAACTGGAATCCTGTAGAATGGGACAGAGCAGCAGAGGAATTGACTTGGGAAAGGGTTGGTGTATTAAGAAAATAAGATAAAATACACAGAGCTTGTTTGTCATGTTTATGTAGTTTATAATAAGATTGTTATACTTTGTTTTGGAGTAAGTTCAATATTTATTCAGAAATTGATAATTATGGACTTTGTTGTTTCAGATGCTTGGATTAGATGGTTCTTTACTGTTTCTGGTAAGATCTTGTAATTGAATGTTGAAATATTGCTTGGGTTGTACTGTATGCTTTGGAAATTATCAATGCACCAATTTTTCATTGAAATTATCAATTTTTCAGGAGCATGTGTTCTGGGTTGTGTCTTTAAACACATCATTCATCTTAGTCTTTGGTAAGTATTTCGTGACCATGATTGCAGTGATTATGTTTAGAACTCCTGAATTTCTTTACAGTAACTAATTAAACCAAAATGTGAGTGTATGAATGATTTTTCACAGCATTTTGTCCATTTCACATTGGTTACTTTGCCACAATCCTCTTCTCTCTGGATGACATGGTAAGTCAGTGAGTCAATGTGTGATAATTGTCTTTCATTGTTCGGACATCAAATGAAGCTTGTCCTAACTGTACTTTATTTTAGGTGAAATCCTCTCACTTGGACAAACTGTTGACAACAGTCTTGGGATATATAATACTGGCAGCAACATTAGTCTATTGTCATGTATCCTTTTATTCAACCAAGACATAAACATGTTGTTCTACCGTTCACAATTCTCGCATGATTAGACTTGCAATTAGAGAGGTTCTCTTACAGGTTTAATACGCATTTGATTGGTTAATCAAGTAGAATAAATGCATTTGATTGGTTAATCAAGTAGAATAAATGCATCTGATTGGTTAATCAAGTAGAATAAATGCATTTGATTGGTTAATCAAGTAGAATAAATGCATCTGATTGGTTAATCAAGTAGAATAAATGCATCTGATTGGTTAATCAAGTAGAATAAATGCATTTGATTGGTTAATCAAGTAGAATAAATGCATCTGATTGGTTGATCAAGTAGAATAAATGCATCTGATTGGTTGATCAAGTAGAATAAATGCGTCTGATTGGTTAATCAAGTAGAATAAATGCATCTGATTGGTAGAATAAATGCATCTGATTGGTTAAAGTGGAAGTCAAGTCCGTTCTGCGCATCGGTTCTGCTCATAACAATGTGAGGACCCTCTAATGTGAACATTGCCCTAATCTGAACATAAAGTCTATTTCATATTCATTTAGAAGCATAGCGAACCAAAATGGTGTTAGATATTCAGACAGTACATCATATTTTAAAAAATACAGCAGTTCAAAATGTAAACAAACCGTTTGTTTGCAATGTTCCTGCAGTTTGTAAACTATCCATGAATGTCACAATCATTGCCGACACACAGCCTACATTATTTTGATACTGTTTTATGTGATCACTTCTTCCTTAACAATTCATAGAGTATGGCTTCTCTTTTTAAAATGAAAAAGTATGTCTTTCTCCCTAAATATTGTTTATTGTCATTGAGCTTCCCTTTCTGTCATTCCGAATTTGCTCTTGGTTAATTTTGTGTTTTTTGTGCACATTTTTCTACAGAGCCAAACGAATACTTGGATTGTGTTACATTATTGTAAAGGTCTGTTTCAACTTTTTGCCCTCTTGTTCCCGAAAATATTCTATGTTCATTGTAACATTTGAACCTCTTGATACATTTAGCAATAGAAGAGGAAACTTCTTTATCAATATTTTAGGTATCCCTTCTCATGGTTGTTGAAATTGGAGTCTTTCCTTTGGTCTGTGGTTGGTGGCTAGACATTTGTTCTTTGGTATGCTTGCAGATACGCTATGTTATAATCCACAGTCAAAATCATACGAAATTTTCTTATGACATCCAGTAACCAATGTCAATGGACCTATTACCTAATAACCAAAATTTTGATCTCAACAAGTCTAGACATGTTGTAAAATGCGGATAATATAGCCCTGCGAAGTTTGCCGTTTTTTCAGTCATTTTGTATTACGCACGGGAAATTGGTACCGCTTTCTGAAAAAAAGTATCAATTTCCCGCGCATAATACAAAATGACTGAAAAACGGCAAACTTCGCAGGGCTATATTATCCGCATTTTACAACATTTCGCAACGAAACTTCGGGATGTTACTAATTTTGTGATGCTCTTTCAAGCTGTGATGCTCTGTCATTTTGTGATGCTCTTTCAAGCATTTTTGTCTAGACTTGTCTAGATCAAAATTCCATTGATCATGCTCAAGATTAAATGTCAAGCAAAAACTATTTTTTAAAAAATTCCGACCTACCTACTGTACCTTAATTTTTTCAGGATTGTAACGGAATCACGCGGTTTTTTGTTAAGCCTGAATTAAATGTTCATGTAACGTCTCTACTGATACATTCTGATTATTGTGTTTCATTATAGCCACTGTTTGGATCGACGTTAAAAAGCCGTCAAGAAGGATTTCATTCAGCACCTGGTATGGAATCAAACCAACTATTATGTGCGATGTAGTGAAGACATTTCAGAAATAACTAAACTCTTTATATTTTTAGGGACGTCTCTTTTCCTTCATTGGCTTGTTGGAATGGTATTTGTCTTCTATTTCGCTTCATTTGTTCTCTTACTACGAGAGGTAAGCTACCACACCAGAAATATCGGGAAATTGAACGTTACGAATTTTTTTCAAATTATTTTGTTTAATATTTAGGTGATACGACCGGGCGTGTTGTGGTTTCTGAGAAATCTAAACGATCCAGACTTTCATCCTGTTCAAGAGGTCAGTTTTATTTTGGGTTTTTTTATGTGCTTGAACATATTTTTTTCAATTTTGAATGTTTACAAAGTTGTGACGCATTGTTTTAGATGGTTCATCTCCCATTATACCGTCACGCAAGACGTTTTCTTCTGTCAATGGTAAGTTCCATGCCAAGTAAAAGAAACGAAAATACGTGCGAATAATTTTGCCGTTCTCAATATTCCATAGAACGGTCGCGTCACCTCGTGCGTGGGTAGGGAGTCGTAGTGGGTGATAAGCGTCTGCCTTTCATTTCTGACCAACAACAACAACAACGACGACAACAACAACAGCAACAACAGCAACAACAACAACAGGAAAAACAACAACAACAACAACAACAACAACAACAACAACAGCAATAACAACAGCAACAACAGCAATAACAACAGCAACAACAACAACAACAACAACAACGACGACGACGACAAAAACAACAGCAAACACAACAGCAAAAACAACGACGACGACGACGACGATGACGACGACGACGACGACAAAAACAACAGCAAAAACAACAGCAAAAACAACGACGACGACGACGACGATGACGACGACGACAAAAACAACAGCAAAAACAACGACGACGACGACGACGACAAAAACAACAGCAAAAACAACAGCAAAAACAACAGCAAAAACAACAGCAAAAACAACAACAACGACAACGACAACGACAACGACAACGACAACAACAACGACAACAACGACAACAACAACGACAACAACAACGACAGCAACAACGACAGCAACAACGACAGCAACTACGACAGCAACAACAACAGCAACAACAACAACAGCAAAAACAACAACAACAGCAACAACAACAACAACAGCAATAACAACAGCAAAAACAACAACAGCAACAACAACAGCAACAACAGCAACAACAAAAACAACAACAACAACAACAACAACAACAACTTCCGTGAGAAGAATGCTCACAGTTTGACTGTACCCGAAACTCCATTGCAATTTTTCCTGGATACTCTGGTTTCCTCCCGCAGTAAAGGCCCATTTTCACTCAAGAAAATTTTCCACGGACAGAAATTTTTCCGAAAATATCATTGTTAAAAGTCAACTTCAAAATTTTTTCCGACGGAAAATTTGTGTCGGCCAATCACATTTTACAAATTTTTCTTTCCGCGGAACATTATCCTGAGTGGAAATGGGCCTTGACACTGTACCATTGAAGATCTTGTAGGGAAGGGTTACGACTTGAAGGAGGAGTCTTTATGAAACAGTTGCGGTAACATATTCCCATTATTTTCAGGTGGTATTTGGTACAACAGTCATGCTAATGGTGTATTTACCAGTTCAATCCATCAGACATTTGATGCCAATGTTCTTGCCTTATAATATTCGCCTTTCAAGGTATGGCATATTCTCAAGTTGAAAGATTTTATCAACTATGGCGAGAGCTCAAGTCTGAGTGACCAGTCCAGAATCGACGAAAATATCAAAATTAGAAAACTTTCTTTATTTTTTTATATGTGTAAAGTCCCCCCCCCCCAATTGAAACCAGCTTTTGCTGATGCGGCTAGGCTAGCGCCATTAAATAAAGTTTTAAATAAACATAATAGAAATAAAAAGGATTTATAATGTACTCCAAAATTGAAGATTTGGTACTAAAAAATGAAATATTTAAAAGTTTTGAACCGACCGTTTAGTTCATAGTGGTTTTTTTCTTATTTCAACAGCGAGGTGCCAATGAGTGAGCTGTCTTTAGAGCTGTTGTTGCTTCAAGTTATATTACCAGCGTTACTAGAGCAAGGTCACACGCGACAGTGGTTGAAGGGCTTGGTGAGAGGATGGCTTGTTGCCACAGCATATTTTTTGTAAGTTGCTGGGGTGTGTGTATGTGAAAAGTTTCGCCGCATTTCAGTCTATGTTTACATACTGTTCAAAAACTCATTAATAATTCATGAAGCAATTATCCAATCTTGAGTAAGAAATTAGTCACGTGCATACGTCTTTATACCAGCTAAAGAACACTTTAACAAAAGACCATTGTTATGCAAACTATATAAAGATTTTTATATAAAGATTTTTATATAAAGATTTTTCATATTCAGATTTGACTTATTATGCAAACGTTTCTGAAGCCATTTAAAAAACTCGCAGGTCGTGTTTTATTAGGTCTAAAGCCACTCGCGCTGCGCGCTCGTAGCCTGCGCGCAGACTATATAATGACATATATATATATATATATATATATATATATATATATATATATATATATATATATATATATATATATATATATATATATATATATATATATATATATATATATATATATATATATATATATATATATATGTCATTATATAGTCTGCGCGCAGGCTACGCGCTCGTGGCTTTAAACCTAATAAAACACTCCTGCTCGTTTTTTAAATAGTACGTAAAATATTTCTATTTCAGAGATCTTCGCTCATATCTTATCGGCGATGTTGCTTTGGATGGCATGGCAAATGTCGTAAGTATTGATAAGCATTTAAGATAAAGCAATTATGGATTGTGTAACGAAAATATTTATGTGCATTCATTCTTGTTGGTTTTTTACCTAACACTACTCCCAAAGTAAGCCCGGGGATTTGGCTACTGGGATTAACAGACTGCGGAGGAGAGTGGACAGCAAGGCTCCCTCATACACCACCCCATGGAAAACCTGCACCCCCTATTTGTAGATGAGACTAGATCCGCCCCTTCTCTTCAGTGCCATCTCAGCCTTGCTTTCTTCATCTCCACAATCTCTATCACCCCACTTTTTTTCATTCCTTCTCTTGTCCTACTTGTACAGTGTAGTAATGAGTAATTATCCATCCTGTGTTGTGTTTCATTCCTTCTCTTGTCCTACTTGTACAGTGTAGTAATGAGTAATTATCCATCCTGTGTTGTTCTAGATACATTTCAACAACGAATATCATGTTGTCGCAAATCAACCTGCACTGCCTGACAATGCTGCTCCTCAACCAAACGTAAATCAGGCAGCTCCACCCGCAGGCCATGGAGAATTCCGAGAGGGAGGAAGGGTTGTTATTCAACCGTACATTCGCCCTGAACGTTTTACTTTGAGGGTATGTGTAGTATCACATTGTTTGTTTGTTTGTTTTGTTTGTCTGTTTGTTTATTTGTTTGAAAGCTTCGGATTGATTATGTCTGTCTGTCTGTCTGTCTGTCTGTCTGTCTGTCTGTCTGTCTGTCTGTCTGTCTGTCTGTCTGTCTGTCTGTCTGTCTGTCTGTCTGTCTGTCTGCCTGCCTGCCTGCCTGCCTGCCTGCCTGCCTGCCTGCCTGCCTGCCTGTCTGTCTGTCTGTTTGCTTGCTTGCTTGCTTGCTTGCTTGCTTGCTTGCTTGCTTGTTTGTTTGTTTGTTTGTTTGTTTGTTTGTTTGTTTGTTTGTTTGTTTGTTTGTTTGTTTGTTTGTTTGTTTGTTTGTTTGTTTGTTTGTTTGTTTGTTTGTTTGTTTGTTGCACCCACTTTGCTGATCAGAAACTATTAAATTGGTGTTATGTACTCAGGTGAATAAGATGTTTGTGATGTTACTCTGAGTGTTTGATGCCCACATCAATTATAATTGTATTTTTATAAAATTATTGTTTCAGATAACATTTCTCATCGCGTTCATGTGCCTGTCGCTCGCTGTTGCAAGCTTTCTTTTTTTGACCCTGCCAGGTTGGTTGTCAGACGGTGCATTGCTAAACTGGGGCATATTCTGTAGGCAAACCTTGTATTGGACATTTATATATGCCTTAAGGCCCATTTCCACTCAAGAAAAATTTCCATAGACAGAAAATTTCCGAAAATATCGTTATTAAAAGTTGAAAATTTTCACTTCAAAATTTTTTTCCGACGAAAAATTTGTGTCGGCCAATCACATTTCACAAATTGTTCTTTCCGCGGAAAATTTTCTTGAGTGGAAATGGGCCTTAATACTGACTTATCTCAGCCGTCACCCCGGAGCGCCGCTCCCATTCTCCGCCGCTCCAGGGGAGGGGGTCGGCTGAGATCAGTCTGCTATCGCAGACTATAATACTTATAGTAGATGGGATATTGTAGATGGAATTTTCGAGCGTAAATTTATATACATTGTAAACTAGGAGCACAACCTGGAGACAAAAATTTCCTGCAGGCCAACGGAGTATTTTTGTGCTAAATCTGCATGTGCATAAACATATAATGTTCTGACCATGGTTTTAAATTCAAGGAATAATGTCTGTCAACCATATGCTGTTGCGCCCATAGTGGGACATGGGTGTTAAGGTTTCCTTCAAATTTTCAATAGCAAATCTTCATTCAAACAAATTTCCTGCAGTTCAACATTTCCTGCGAGCATTGCTCGCCTATTTTTTCCACCCCTGCTCGATATCTAACCTGTACTTCTCTGTTCCAACTGACAAGTAAATCAAGACAAAAATGTTTAAACTCTTTCATATAATTTCGTATTATTGGCACTACTAGAGACCTTACGATTTTTGGACGGCAAAAACAAAACAAACTCCTTCAAATAAATGGTAGTAAAGATAATTCATCGTATATTATCAATCGTATGAATTTAATACAGTCTTAGAAGTTGAAGACATGAGTTTTATGTTTGGGAAGAGTTCTGCTGAAGTTGCACTTGTTGCGGCTTGAAATGCAGCCGTTGTATTAAGACGTGAAAATCTGTGATTTGGCGTTGTAAACAGAGCGAGGACAATGTCTAAATTATTCATATATTGTAATTATTCAATTCTTTTCAATGATTGTATTGGTCGCTGTTGCCGTCGCGTTGGCGTCCTAAATCGTAAGGTCTCTACTTACACTGACACAGATCTTTCAACTCACTTCTGTCTTATACATACAGTTGCAGTTGGTCGTTTCGTCATGCACCTGGTCGTGTCTGGTATAACAGTTCACGAACTGTATACAGCAGCATTTGGTCTGTATATAATATGGTTGTTATGTCGCACTGCCAGTATTGTTGTCTCGTGGTTACCTTTGGGAGTCAATGGCATTGTTGATAAGATGAAGAGCTGGACACTGCTTGTATGTAGATTTATACTTGAGGTTGTCTGAACTAGGAACTAAAAATGTACCATACCATTACGATACCCTACCCTACCACCATGTACCTTATACCAAATGTACCATACCATGACCAGACCATACCCTACTACACCATGCAATGCTATACCTTACCAAGTCATACTGTATCTTACCATACCATCCACATCATACCATATTATACCTTATTTCACCATGCCACACTACCCTACTGTATACCATACTTTACCACACCACCACACTATACCTTACCATAACATGTCATGCGATGCCCCACCTTACCATACCATCCACATCATACCATGCCACGTACTTATTACACCATCCATGCCACACTGCACCATACCTTACCATACCATCCACATCACACCATGCCACGTATTTATTACACCATCTATGCCACACTGCACCATACCATACCTTATCTTACCTTACCTTACCTTACCATTTACCAATACATACCATCCACATCATACCATATTATTATATAACACCATCCCAAGCCACACTACACTATACCATACCATACCTTACCACACTATACCATACCTTATCACACCATAGGATACCATACCATCATATTTGTGCTTTTCTCCATTTCAGGTCTTAAAATGTTGTGTAATTGCTATTTTTATTATTGGAGTCATACCGTTTTTACTTGGTCTTATTTTTGAACTGGTTGTCGTGTCTCCGCTACGAGTTGGCATGGATCAATCTCCGCTTTACTTTCCTGCTCAGGTAGGGGAAAGTTGTTTTTTTATTAATTAATTCAACTTTAGAGACCAGTCATAAAGTAACTGCTAGGGTGGGCTGGAGTGATTTGGGATGGGCCATGGAAAATCTTTGGGCAGTTTCGATGGGCCGCCAATTTTTTGGTATGTCCACGGTTGGGCCACCAAACAAAAACCCATGTTAATTATATACTACATAAAGATAATAATAAAAGTAAACAAAACTATCCAAATCATCAAATGCAAATGCAAATGATGCTATTGAAGCTAGTACTTTGTTTTATACAACAACAAGAAGTGGTCGAATCACAGCAAATGCAACCAACTGGAGAGCAGCTCAGTATCGTAATTGGTGATGAATGTGTTGGTCAAGCTTGGTGGAATTATGTATGTCAATACAGTGCCGGTGTATATTACAATGTTCATACCTGCAAGTTTTCAAAATTGTATTTTCCCAATTTAGATTGGGTGGGTGGGTCATGAAATAAATTTGGCAAGATTAGATGGGCTTTGAAATTTTTATCTACATCCTAAGATGGGTCACCAAACTTATTGGCAAAATTTGTGATTTACCTCCAGCCCACCCTAGCATTTATTTATGACTAGATCCTTACTTTCGGTTTTCCATTTTCTTTTTCATTTGGAATCGTCTTACATTTTAGGACTGGGCTCTCGGTGTTCTGCACACAAAAATAATCTGTGCTATGGCTATGATGGGCCCAGAATGGTGGCTGAAGAGAGTTCTGGATCAGGTCAGAAGAGCAAGACACTATGACACCTTGAGAAATGCTGTTCCAATAGACAACTTGCATGTTAGACTAATTTTTGATCTAGGCAAAAAATTCCCGTAAAGAACTTATTAAAATTAGTAAAATTGCAAAATTTGGTTACGAAATGTTGTAAAATACTGAAAATATAGCCTTGCCTTGCGAAGTTTGCACATTTTCAGTATGTTTGTATTACGTGCGGAAATTGTTACCATTTTCGGCTCGAAAATGGTAACAATTTCCGCACGTAATACAAACATATACAAAATTTGGAAACTTTGCAAGGCTATATTTTCCTAGCTTTACAACATTTCGCAACCAATTAAATCTTGCAGTTTTACTAACTTCATTATGTTTTTTTTTTAGCTGTGGTGTTTGGTTCCCTTCTCTTTACTTCGATTAAAATTTAGTCTAACATGCAAGTTGTCCTTTACATCTGAAATCTTTGGATTGATAGGAATACAACTACCTGCATGAAGAATACAAGTCAGGGGTGGAAAAAGTATCGGAACCTGGAAACCTAGTTCCGAGAATTTTTTTTGAGTTGAGAGTTTTTCAGAAAATTTTCCAGAAAATATTTCAACATTTTGAGATAACTCTGTTTACTCAACTTACAAGTTACAACTATTCTACTTTATTTACACTGTACACGCTAACATCAGCAGCTTTTAAATATTTGACAGAAATTAATTCTTTTACCCACCCCTGCCATCACAATGAGGTAAAATGGTAAATATATGCTCTGCAAAGTCTCCAATAAAATGCAAATTAAATAGTAAACAAATAAAAGTGATGGAATAAATAAGATGATAGGACCTTAGTTAAGCATTAGATCCTTACTAGTTGGTCATAATTCATAACTGTGGTATATAACAGACAACTATTGCGATGTACAAGCATACAAAAACCAGCCTAAAGCCTATTATTACTAAAGTACAAATAATACAATAATTATGCATTTGTTTTGTTATTTTTGTAATTGTAACATTGCAAATTTTACAGAAAATTTCTAGCCTTCGACCCAGGTTCCCAGAAAGAAAATTTTTTTCCACCTCTGATACAAGGAGTAGTTCTTCTTGTGTTTTTCAGGTAGTTGTATCCCTATCTATCCAAAGATTTCCTGTTATTTCCACTGGCTCAGACCATTCAAAATTATCATTTCTTACTATTTTTGTAGATATACCAAAATGGTCTTCGTGAGATGGACATGACTTATATTCTCCAGAAACTTATATTCCCCGTCACGATATGTCTAATGTTGATGATAACCACGCCCTATGTTGCTGCAAACCTCTTTATACCACTGCTAGGTACAGTAGGTTTGTTGGAATGTACTGATCTAAACCAACTTATACTGGATTGCTCTATACATTAGGGTTTTGGAGGCGCAGTTGTCACAACAAGCGCCTTTCACCTCTCTGAGGTCATGGGTTCAATGGACCTTTCACCTTTTGACTAAAATTTAGATCTAAACAAGTCTGGACAAAAATTTCACAGCTTGAAAGAGCATCACACAATTAGTAATATTCCAAAGTTTCGTTGCGAGATGTTGTAAAATGCGGATAATATAGCCTTGCGAAGTTTACAATTTTCAGTCATTTTGTATTACAAACGGGAAATACATACTCTTTTTCCGAAGGAGGTATGTATTTCCCGCCCGTAATACAAAATGACTGAAAATTACAAACTTCGCAAGGCTATATATATTATCCGCATTTTACAACATTTCGCAACGAAACTTTGGAATATTACTAATTTTGTGATTCTCTTTCAAGCTGTGATAAAATTTTTGTCTAGACTTGTTGAGTTCAAAATGTTAGTCAAAAGGTGAAAGGTCCATTCTCGCTGCGGACTCGGGACACTTGTGTGAAAGGAAACAGTCGACATTCTACCGAAAGTCGCGAGTTTCGTCCAGGTGCTCTAGTTTCTTCCCCCAGAGAATGTTAGCAGGGTGGGATGGGATAACTCGCTTACGTTGGCGTGAGTTGTGTTTGATTTGCACAGCACAACTCAAGTTGTAACCAGGTTGCATGCGACAGTTTTAGGCAAACGTTGTGTAGTGTAAATCGCCCTTAATGCACACAATTCCAGAGTTGTCTCCTTTGTTTCAAAAGTATTATAATATTTTTTATGTAGTTCCATCTCGGGAGATTCAACTTCTGTTTATTCGTCAAGTGTATCCATTTCTTCTCGCTGTGGTCTTATTGCTTGGAGGTCTTGTCTTTCAAGGAAAACAGTTTCAGAGATTATATGAACATATCAAGAATGACAAGTAAGTGGATTTTTTGTATATATTTATTTAGCTTTATCAGAACTATCTAACTCCCATCGTAATCTTTGGGCGTCATTTCCGGATAGTAATATACTCCATATAGACGTTGCCAGAAAAATTCTGACCATATAAATTTTATATCTTGCTATGTTCTAAATGTTCTGGATTGGTTTGTGATTAAGTAGGCTTGTTAAGTGTGAAATGATGATTTAAAATCACCAATATCGGATGAAATAGCTCCTAATTAAAAATGACGAGTACTGTACCGGCTGTAGATTTTAAAAATTTTCTCGGGGGAAAAGTTCGTTTTACTATACCATGCATGGATAGCCTGGGCGTCCAAATATATTTTCACGTAATAGAACCAGCGCAAGTTACAATCGACCCCTCCTGGGATTTTCGCCTCCCCCCCCCCCTTGACTAGAAAGTCCTGGCTACGACATTGGCACATTCACAGGAAAAACGTCAAGCAGTGGACAGTAAGGGTGAGGGCGGGGCTAGGTTCAACAAATAAGCGTGATATGATGACAAACGAGTTCCCACCTCCTGCAGTACTTCACGAAGCATACGTCACTATGTCAGTTGCGTGCAGGAGTATTGAAGTATGTTCTCATCACGTGACGTTGAAGGGGAGATGTTGGCCCAATTTCCATAATGACAAACACCATTTAAGTATAAAGGAGTTTCGTAACCATATTATCAATCCTAGTTCAACATGACCTTTGTCCTCACCCAAATCCATACAGTAGAACTGCGCACCAAATTATGAGTTGATTTGGGAACATTTATGTATATGGTACTATAAAGGTTGGTTTACGCTTTCAAAGTTTCTGTGTAGGAATTTTTGCAGAGATAAAATTCCAAGTTTGAAGGATTTATAAGAAATGTTTGAGGGAGTCAACTCAGTGTTAGACAGCATGACTAAATCAGTTCTCTCAAATATTTCTTACAAATCCTTCAAAACTTAGAATTTATCTATGCAAAATTCCTACTGTGATCACAGAAACTTTGATAGTATAAACCAGGCTTAATGTTGGCAACTCATGGCAATGCATCTGAAACAAAGTGATTTCTTGTCTAGATATTTTCAAGAAGTTTCAAGAACTGTTTTCTTCGGAAATATTTAAACATTAAAAATTTATCATAAAGGGAAAAATATGCATACACTTCAACGGATATGCTATACACTTAAACTAATCGTTTATTTTGCGAATAATAGATTACACATATAAAGTCTGCCCAACCCATATTTTTTTCGACAACAACGTGTGTAAATTGAAGTGGTGCCAGATTTGTTACATCAATGTGACCACGTGTTACATCAATGTGACCACGTGTTACAGCAGGTCGTACCGCACTTGAGTCAGTAATTGATAACCCGCGTTATTTCGTCAGCAACCTTGACCTTTCTGTAAGAACTTTGATGATAAACAGGAAGGATTGTGCGTGTCGGAGAACAAGAAAACGCTTCCCATATTGCTCTCCTAAATTCAGGTGCTTTAAGGACTGTTGACAAACATGCAAATTTATCTCAAAAAGTTCTTATATCAAGTATCAAAGGACCTCTGTGTACATCCAGTCAACCACAAACTACTTTGGCAATTTGACCTTGAGTTTGGACAACTAATAATAGACAACTTGCATGTTAGACAAATTTTTTATCTAACCGATCTAGGAAAAAAAAAGTAAATTCCCGTTAAGAACTTATTAAAATTAGTAAACTTGCAAAATTTGGTTGCGAAATGTTGTAAAGCTTGGAAAATATAGCCTTGCAAAGTTTGCATATTTTCAGTATATTTGTATTACGTGCGGAAATTGTTACCATTTTTGAGCCGAAAATGGTAACAATTTCCGCTCGTAATACAAATATACTGAAAATATGCAAACTTTGCAAGGCTGTATTTTCCAAGCTTTACAACATTTCGCAGCCAAATTTTGCACTTTTACTAATTTCAGTATGTTCTTTTTAGCTGTGGTGTTTGATTCCCTTTTCTATGCTTAGATTAAAATTTAGTCTAACATGCAAGTTGTCCATTGTAGCATTAAGAACGGTACTTTTTTTCTTTGGTTTGTTTCTTTAACATTTATTCGAAAAGCTTTGAAAGGCAGCCTAAGGATGAATAAAATTTGAGTTTTAGTGATAAAACAAAGATAAGTCATGCTTAAAACTTTCGCATACATGCTCTCTTGGGGTATCTAACCTCTAGGTGATAGTAATTCTATCAGTTGCATAAAACTTTGACTTTAAATTAATACCAAATTTCACAACTAATATGTAGTAGAAAATATTGCAAAGTACATCCGGGTAGTTCAGCGACCAGGTCCAGTTCCTATTTGGCATTCACTATATACATGCATTACACATTCAAATCCCCCAACTCCCAACCCCCACCCCCAAACCCCCTCCCTAATGTGCGCCCCTGTATCAACAGATAACTTATCCCCTTTCGTATAACCAGTCCAATGCAGTAGCTAGTACTAGCTACATATATCACGGCACTCTAAAACGTTTCCTGTTTTTAAGCAAAAACAAACAGGTGTATATTTAGAACTACTCGAAGTATTACAAAGAATGTTTCTTTGAATTTGCATGAATTGTATTGAATACATAGCTTTGATTGCTTTGAACAGTTCAAGGCATTCAGAATATTTTGAAAAAAATGTTAATCACAAACGTAATCTATATATAACAAATTATTTTTAGCATAATTAACTTATAATTATCTAATATCAATTATCAGAGGGGGCAGGAAAGCTCAATCTGTTTAAATTACTTTGGCTATACGTCCATACTAATCTGTTTTCGTAGCGTTTTCCTATTGTTTCTGTTAATTGCAGCATTCTTCTCTATTCCCTTGTGAACGGTGAATAATTATACGAAAACGCATTAGTGTGGACGTGACCTTTGTCTGAGTTTGTCATGAGATCGGTATCACATGCAGTATAGACATATTTTGTCAATGTCTAAACCATGGCAGAGTGCTTTCATACAGAGGTCTCACTTCTGCGGGAAAACTGTAAGGTAGTTTTTACCAAAATAGCTAGCGGCCATGTTCTTAGCAAGTGCCTTAAAGAGAGGCATTCACCCCCCTGGAACATTAAATTTCAATATGTATATGGGGGTGACGGCCTCTCTTTAGGGCACTTTCTAGGAACATGGCGGACTGAAAAAATCCCTTGCATCTAACCTGAAGTGAGACCTCTGTATGGAAGTAGTCTGTGTCTAAACGATGTATAACTTTATGATTTACATGAAGTAGAAAACACGATATCGAAAGCTTCAGTTCGAATGTTTTCTGCCCGCTGTGAATAATTGGTTGTTTATACACTAAGTGGACGTAAAAATAGCCTAATAAATATTCAGGAGTTATTTCCAAGTTTCTCAGTCAGATTATTTCCTATATCCCTGGAGGCAAACTGGTTACGAATTGCATCGTCTTATATCAAACCAGAAGTTTTGGGGTTCCGAACGCTTCCGAGCATTTGCCGAACATTTTCAAGATTGCGGCGAAGAGAAAAGCAAACAACTGTCTAGAGATAATTTTCCACATTTTGTTGAATTTTTGCAGCTAAACAAAAGCTAAAAATTTATCTGGATAAAGACTTAACCTAATTAAACAATGACCTATTGATAATGACCATATCACACTATAGATGCTGATATATAATTTAACCATATACGATTCTATCTATTTGGCTTTATACTTCAAAAATATTTTATTTTTCTTTGTGATATTCATAATACTATTTTCAGCAGTCTACGTCCTTTATTCAATTAGGATTGTAAGATTCAATTAGGCCATGACTGGACTTTCACCACGCTAACCACATCATGCATACAGAGACTAATGTTGTGTTTGCGGTTTACGATAGAGACAAGCGGTCAAGGTTATTGCTCAATTAGTAAAAGAATTCTGATATTTCATGCTTACAAAACACAGACGCAAATCCCCGTAAACATGCTTTCCCTTTTGTGGGAACAACTCCGTAAGGTCGGGCAGTTGCCGTTGATATTGGTGCATGTATATGAGCAATTTTACTGCATGGCAGCCAAGAATATTTAAAGTTCCAAAATATGTATGACAAGTATTTATATATATGGGTGTTTAGTTTTTATGCGTATGTCGTGTCAGGTTTTTGAGAAAGTTTTGGGTAAAGCTGCTTAGTTTCTACAGAATCTATTTATTCTACTCATTTTTCTCTCTATGTCATTTGAATCACAATTTCCCCGCAAATACTTTCACATCACATGAAATAAACAAGCGTTGTGCCCCTATATTAAAAAAGAACATACTTCGACGTTTCAGGAAGATTAGTATTCCTGTTAAAAGGTTTCAGTTAGAACCGCTCTATTATTATTAGCCTATAAATTGATTGCACAGCCCAACACATTACGAAATAAATATCATAGAACTATGGTGGGCGTGGAACCATTATGGGTGCGTTTACTATACATTGTGCTTGTATCATGACAAACATGCATTTAAGCTATGCAGACTACACAACCTCGTGCAGGTGGTATTGCGGTGCTTTACAATTTTTTTTTACGCTATCAGTTTCAATGGAAAAGTTCTAAAAACAGCATCAAAATACAATAATAACACAAAGACTTCGGCTTGCCGGTTTAAGACACTGTCACGAAATTAATTTTTTGAGGTCCAAATGCTCAGAACAGAATTTTTGGATAATTCAGTATAATCTACACATTATAAATAGGTGTTTATAAATACATCTGTAAATGGCTACGCTGTGGGACAGTGCAACACATTGTGGTCAGCTCTCAAAAAGAAAACCAGTTATCAGAGGCAGATTGACTATAAGTTTGAACTGTCTGTGCTGAGTATCTGGTAGTGCCAATAATAACAAGCTTTCGTTGATAGGGAAGCAACTATACCTGAAAAAGAAAAGGAGAATTTCGACGTTTCGAGCGAAGGCCCTTCGTCTGGAGTTACTAACGTCGAAATTCTCCTTATATTTTTCAGGTAGTTGCATCCCTATACCAACGAAAGCTTGTGACTATAAGTTGTTCACTATATGACCTGTGCTTGACCATGTGTTTAGTGCATGGCAATACATGTAATGGAAGTATTTAGCATAATTTGCTCACTCCAAAAGTGTTTGTACATTAATGGTTCATCACGATGTGTGTATCAGCATCTGAACACCAAGCCATACAATGAAGGCTATTCATAATATAAGAGTATACAATGAAGACATTGAATGTGTGGCCCCATCAAACGTATAATATACCTATATATACATTAAGTGTTTTGTTATCAAGAGTTCAAATATAAACACCATTTGTCTTCTTCAGCTTCTCCTCCCCCAGAACGCATGACCAGTTGCACACATCAGCGTGTGTCCGCTACAGACAAAAAAAACATGCATTCCAACACCAAGTGCTTTCTAATACAGCACGCACATGTTTGTGGCTGGAAGATAACGATTTGCTAGAAATGCTGAGGTCAATCATCACAAAAGAATGTGAAAACCCACTTGAAATGTATGTGTATATTCTGTGGTGAATTTGCGCAAGATATTTTTACGTGTGTTTGGTGATGTGGTAACACAATGGTTTGCGCATGTACATTTCACCTCTGATTCAATTCCTGTAAAATTCAGATTATGATTTCATTTTAGTCGCTTGTGAAAAGAACTAGACTTCAGTTATTCTGATGAGATGGACCTCTAGGCTTGCCTCTAGAAAGGGCAGATAGAATGGATGACCCTAGCTACAGACTAAATTTTGATCTAGGCAAGAAGAACAAAATCCATCACCACAGCTAGAAAGGGCATGTTAAAATTAGTGAAATTGCAAAGTTTGGCTGCGAAATGTTGTAAAGCGCGGAAAATATAGCCCTACGAAATTTGCAAATTTTGTATTAATTTGTATTACGCACGGGAAAATGCACCACTTTCGGCCCAAATGTGGTGCATTTTCTCGCGCGTAATACAAATTAATACAAAATTTGCAAATTTCGTAGGGCTATATTTTCCGCGCTTTACAATATTTCTCGGCCAAACTTTGCAAATTTTACTCATTTTAAGATGCTCTTTCTAGCTGTGGTGATGGATTTTGTTCTTCTTGCCTAGATCAAAATTCAGTCAAAAGCTGGAATAATCTATTGTTAGAGCTGTATGTGTCTGAATATCGCAAAATCCATATTCTACAAGACCTATTCCCAGATATAAGAAAAAACAGATACTCCAAAAAAACAAGACACAAATTATGGTGGTGATATTTCGACTCTATTTCATGGTCATTGTCAAACCAAATTGTAATTATTTATTATCTATTCCCAGATACCACCTACTATATATTACTGCACGTACATGGTTGCAACAAGATCTCTGTGGGTAGTGTACACCTCCCAGTTTTATCGTGAAATCACAATTCTGATTATTACGATCGCCGCGGTTTCGTACTTCAATGTTGATTTTACCTTTATTTGTTTGTGCCACGGCGTATAGATGGTTGCACTTCCCATGTTTTTCAAGAACATGCATGGATATCGCTATTTTTAACATGCATAGTCATGGCCATGAAATTCCTCTACTGATCTAGATTATTCATTTCCCGTTTTCTCTTGTTTCATTTCCTGTTGTGGTATAGTTTTCAGTGTGAGAGTGAGTGTTAGTTGTATTCAAAAGTGAAGAACAGATTATAATGTCATGTTCTACCCAATCTCATGTTCTGATGTTCTATGCCATAATTTGAACATGCTTAAAGCTGGTTGACACTATCAAAGTTTCTGTGATCACAGTAGGAATTTTGCATATAGGATTTGAAGGATTTGTAAGAAATGTTTAAAGTGCCTATACGACAATTTTTTTTTATGATTGAATTGAAAAGTTCATTTAAAATCATAATATAACTTGTTTTCTAAAACTTTGTATTCTTTCCTGTATGTCAAGATTTTCGACTTTGTTTGATATACAAATGTGACTTGAATGACGTCACACTGCATAACGAGTTTTTAGAAGAAAAAACGTTTCTTTGCCAAACATGTAATAATTCAATGACATTGAAAGTGATATACTTTAAGAGCTATCAAAGCGATCATTTCGTCTGTAAATTTGAGATAATGAGAATTTTAACCGCTACAACACAGTCTTCTGTAAAACGCATTATGAGTGTGACGTCATTCAAGTCACATTTGTATATCAAACAATGTCGAAAATGTTGACATACAGGAAAGATTACTAAGTTTTAGAAAACAAGTTATATTATGATTTTAAATGAACTTTGCAATTCAATCATAAAAAAATTGTCGTATAGTCATAATCAGTGTTTTGTCCTGCATATAACCATTACATAAGTAAAAGTATCTTGATAATTAAATGAAGAGAACAAAGAATTTATTTTACAAACTTTATTTATAAAATTACCTAGTAAGATTGGTGAGCTTTGTATTTCTACAGGACATTAAAAAATGTCGTTTATCCCCAGTCTCGTTTATATAGATCAGAAGATCGTTTCCTCATGTCTAGTTACACGGGGAAAAGATCAGGGAAAAGGATGCGGGCATGTTCTCAATTTTACTATCAAGACATTTAGCATGCATATACAGTAAAATTCAGCCTATATAAAAACGTATATATTTTCCAGCTCAGGGTGAATAGGTTCTTAGTACATATTTGATCAGAATATTGAGTTCTACTTCATGACTCTAATGTCTGTACTGTATCGGTACAAATACACTTGCACTTACTTTATTTATTTATTTATTTATTTATTTATTTATTTATTTATTTATTAGTAAGCTTTACAATCATTAAAAGTGCTATAAAATATATAACAATGATTGAACGTATGGTCAACAGGACATGAGTCCCGTGTGAATTGCGAAGACCAACCTGGAAGAACCTTTATTATTATACAGCCTTTTCCAAATTTCAGGCTGAATTGGTTCTGATAAAAATTGGTGTCTAAATAGCAAGTTTCAGGCTGTAGGTTCCTGATCTCCTAGCTTCTTATTTGCGGGATTTTACTGCAACAATCTGTGTCAGTAATTGCAAATTCACGCAAAAATCGCCTCGTGTAACACTGCATGCGTTTACTCTGATGAAGATTCGAGCATACATGCCATATATGTCGATGGTGTTTTCCACAAAACAGATCAATTATATTTTCTTTTCGTTATACTTTTTCTGTGTGTTGGTGTTATGTACTCAGGTGAATATGATGTTTGTGATGTTTTACTCTTAGTGTGCATCCACACCGGGCAAGTTAAAAGTTAGCCTGTTCGCAGGCTAGTTAAAAGTTTGCCTGACCACCTTGGGAATCGAACCCGCGACCTTTAAGATACTAGTCCAAAGGTCTCGGGTTCGATTCCCACCGTGGTCAGGCAAACTTTTCAGCTTGCCCGCGGTGTGGATGCACACTCGGAGTAACACCACAAACATCTTTTCGTTATATTTCCCCTGTTAAATTTAGCCGAAATAATTAAACAGTATACCGGCCGGAACCTTAAATCAGGGCATTTTTTAACTATATAACTGGGGGGGGCCAAAGCCCCCCCAGCCCCCATGGTGGCCCCCCCACTCAACCATTTTGGCCCCCCCAGTCAAAGTCCCTTTTCTCTAAAATATAAGCAAAACATGAAATTTAGAAGGGAGGTTTGATATTCTAGTAACTGAAATTTGCTTTGTGAATCTTATGTCCTGTCTTTTATGTTTAATAAATACCTTATTAGATTTTAAACATTTCCCAGGCAGTGGATTGCATTTCCCAGACCCTATAGATTTGAGTTGTTGGACAAGTTAGTGACCGCAGGGGACAACAGGCCCTCAACCAAGTGTTTTCTAAGGGGGGGGGGATAATTTTGGCCCCCCACCAAAAAAAAACAATTTGATTTCGAAACTAGAAGTATTTGAAATCATATATACATATAATCAAATATCTGTAATCGATATTTTGATAACATTTCTCGTAATAATCCATCCTGACTCGTGGATATCATAGACTCACAAATCATAATGAACGAATTAATGAAAGGGCCTAACAAAAGACGTATAGAAGACTTTGAAAATGCCATTTCCGACGATTTAGAGACGCAAAATTTTCAAAATTTTTCCGCTCTGTGCCAACCATGGTGGCGTTTCGTGGGAATCGGGAACTCTAAGTTTATCAAGCTGGCTCCCTAAGTGACGGCCAAGTTGTGGTATCTACATAAACATACTATGCAAGTACTTAACTGAAGGTTCAGTCTATATCTACAGCATAATGTAATGCTGTATATCCAAAAATCTGTTTTAGAAAATGCAGGGAATTGCAGTCATAGGGGTAGAAAAATACAAACATTTTCTGGGAGAGAAAACCCCAGACCTCTCCAGGGCCGTAGCAACCGCGGGGGGGGGGGAGGGCTGGGGGGCTGCAGCCCCCCAATAATTTGCTAATAATCATTCATTTTTCAAAATCATGCAGACCTTTATCATTTAATCCATGACAAACTTCAAAGAATGAAGATATTACCCATACTTTCCTGCAACTTATCCAAAATATCGTTAATTAAATACACTTTCGCCCATTTAGTACTACTGAACTCTAAATTTCCACATACTAAAAACGCTGTTTTTTGACAATCAGAAATCTGTCAAATCTTCCCCAAAGTCCAGGAAATGGCATTTCAGAGACTCTAAATTTAAAAATTTCCTCGGGCCTTCGGCCCTCGCTTTCAGCGCCCCCAAACGAAAGAAGCTTCCTACGGCCCTGCTCCCCCCCCCCCCACACTACTATTAAATGCGATACCACACCAAACGTTTTGTTACCAACAAACCATCTATCATTGCTCCACACTCTGTATAGTATGGTCCCTTTTTGTAGATGGCCCCCCCCACTGACGAATTCTTAAAAAATGCCCTGCCTTAAATGTATCGAACAAGAAAACATTTTAACTTCGATTGACAACATTAAGGAAATGGTATCCGGCAACATATTTTGTACGCATTATGATGTCACCTCGCATTCGATTCCGGAACGTTCGTAGGAAAACAGAGACATCCAGTATGACGTCAGAGTTGATGACGTCAAACCATTCCTTAGCACGTTCGAGAAAAACATCGTTACAGTAAGAATCAGCTTAATCTAGTGACTTAAATGGCGGGTGTGGTGATGCTTCATATTGAAAGAAAACCTAATATAATTAAAGAAAGTTCCTAAAATAGATTTTACTGAAGTGGGATGGTAATTCTATAGAGGCCAAGTCTTGAATTTTTGAAAGAACATTATTTACTAGTTTTATTAACTACAACCTCGACTTAACCAGTTCGGCAAGGCTTCAGGCTTGGAGGTCTTATTACCATCATTTAAGAGGATCAGTTGAGATGACAAATTTGGAGAAATTGAACATAGACGGAAATCTTCAACCCTCTTATGGAGATTATTCGAGTGTTTTTATGTGTGATTTTTCGCAACGTTTAATCCTATGTTAATGTTTTCACTTAAATTTCAGGGAACAACCAAATATTCATTTAAAGCCAGATCGTGTCCGTTTTGAGTTATACCCCAATGATTTATTGCTGCCCATATTTTAAGCCATACTATAAGATATAAATAATTTGCGAAGTCTTTGTTTTTCGTCTGCTTTATGCCCACAGACATTCAATGATTAGGTATACTAATGCACTAAGCGTAATTGCCCCCTTGTAGACTTGTCATTGTTAATCCTTGGCACCCACTGAATTCTAGTTTCCAATGAACGGTTTTCCCTAGCAACTATGATTAAGGCCTTAAGGGTTTTTTCTTGAAAAAATACGTGTCAGGATATGTGAGCTTATAAGGAGGAAGATCTTACTCAGCACCTAGACTGGGCAATTCTGAATCAAGCACAGCACTGGACACCTAATGGTCGACGACTCCCAACCCAATATTTTCTTTAGATCTTGTTCTCCAACACTATGTTGTATCAAGGTTTTATCAACCACGAATTGCTGATATTCTTTCGATTAAATAAAGTATAATATATTAAATTTAAGCTAAAGGTTTGAAGAATCAAATTTTCAGCAACAATATAAGGTCAAAAGATGTTTGCAAGCTAAATTCTCACCCCCAATATTTCATAAAGTGTCCGCCACTTATCAAACACTTAACAAGAATTTAAACAGAATTTAGGTTATCTCAAATGTCCAAAGACAAAATTTATAATCATATTTCTTTTGTAGGTATTTAATTGGTAGAAGATTAGTCAACTATGAACATTCTACAAACATTCCCTCGACAAGCAATACCTAAAATTCAAGTCTTATAGTCGGTCATCCCCCATCGGGTGACTGTAAATTTATCTCAAAATAGAGAAGAGCAAGTCAGTGGTAAATGGTAATCCTTCCTTGTGGAGTCTATAGTATAAAGGTAGCATTTGATGTTCCGCAAAGGATTGACAAAGGTTCTTAATCTAACTGAAGAGACACCTTAAATTAGAAGGGTTATGGATATAGAGGGCCAAGATTTGATGCAGTTCAAAATCTTTAATTCTAGCTTCATTATGCTGCAGCAATTGGTTTATTCCGTGACATTCTGCATGGTAACACGACTCGTAGAGGATTATGTTGTCTAAAAAAATACATTAATATAAATCATAGGCATGTATACCCTAAATTTCTGGGTTTTGCCACAGCACCAATATGGTGTAAATCATTGCAGCTTTGTAGACACTGACATTTTTGTGTTAGGAAAACACCAAATACACTCAGTGTTCTAGTTATTTCAATACACCTATTGGGTATAAATTTGGTGTTTGCCTAACACAAAAGGGATTAAGGAACAATTTGTGCTCACATCATGTATTTAATTTCATTCTTAGATTAACTTATGATTTAATTAACGGTATCTAGGTTTACTGATGTAATCAAATGTTCATTCTTTCTCTGATGACGGCCCGAGTGCACGGACCACCACATGGTGTAACTACAAAGTGTTCCTTAATTTTACTCTGAACGCCATGCAAAGCTTTAAAGAAAACAAAAGGGATGTTATCATTTACAATGATTTACACTGCAGAAGTACGATGATTTTGGGGTTGTAGCAACACCCAGAGATTCAGAGTGTTAAATTCTAAAGATTTATTCCACTCGTGTTAAAATTCAACATCATGTAGCTTGTTGTGGATGTTTTCATCATTTACTTGCTAGTTTAGTGAGTGAAACTGAGGCATATCATGGGAGAATTTCAAAAAATATTTTATATGATATTACACTTACAGCATGCTGGTCAACTTTAAATGTGTTGGCACATTATAGGAGCTAGTCATTCGATCCTATAAGCGATGCTTAATGTTTCGATTTTTTTATACAGCTTGCAAGTCAATAATACATATATAATGAACAATTTAGCCCCCATGAACAATATATAATGAACAATTTAGCCCCCATGAACAATATATAATGAACAATTTGGCCCCAATTTGTCCTCCCTTTCTCTTTAGAATGGACCACCAGTGAAACACTTCTGTAGTCTAAACCTGTTCACTCAGTGAAACACTCCTGTAGTCTAAACCTGTTCACTCAGTGAAACACTCCTGTAGTCTAAACCTGTTCACTCAGTGAAACACTCCTGTAGTCTAAACCTGTTCACTCAGTGAAACACTCCTGTAGTCTAAACCTGTTCACTCAGTGAAACACTCCTGTAGTCTAAACCTGTTCACTCAGTGAAACACTCCTGTAGTCTAAACCTGTTCACTCAGTGAAACACTCCTGTAGTCTAAACCTGTTCACTCAGTGAAACACTTTTGTAGTCTAAACCTGTTCACTCAGTGAAACACTCCTGTAGTCTAAACCTGTTCACTCAGTGAAACACTCCTGTAGTCTAAACCTGTTCACTCAGTGAAACACTCCTGTAGTCTAAACCTGTTCACTCAGTGAAACACTTCTGTAGTCTAAACCTGTTCACTCAGTTATTTTATTCAAATCAAAAGAGAATAAGAATATTTTGTTGGAAAATAAATGTAGAAAATTAATTTGGATGAAAAGAAAAGAAATTCACTAAAACCTAACCCCAATCCAGAGAAAAATTATTATTATTATTATAAAAAAAAAACGATTTGCAGCTACAGAGCTGAATTGCTCGGTTTACATCATCTGAAAATACAGTTTATAAAATTACACGCTAAGACTTGTTATAGGTATTAAAATATGCTACACTACTAATTGGCATATAGCTATTTTTGAATTGGTACATATTAATACAAAATATTCCCTAAACACATAGAGGAAGGTCTCCAGGGGGGTCTGTGTTCCCGTATTCCCTTGGAAACGTGTGCCTTGTTCTCCACAACATTTTCACCATGTTCCCCAAGCTTACATATTCCCTTGTTCTCTATCATCTTTTTAGCTTTGTTCTCTTCTTCCCATTGCAAAATATGCCTTCTTCCCTAGAACCCCTGGGAGACCCTCGTAGAGTCATATAGGATTTTCTAAGGTAAACCAAACAGCTATATTGATAATAGAACTTATCATGCTTTAGGGCAGATGTACGCCTTGGGGCTTCATCCCCATCTTTATTGAAAAATCGATCTAGATTGTTGCAGAATAAAAGTGGTAAACTCTGCAGTCATGCAATCTTTTAGGTAGAAAAATCTCGAAGATAAATATAGAACTTTGTGCCAAATAACCGTGCAGCTACAGTATTAGCAGTGAACGTTTACACGCTACTGAAGGCGCTTCACTGGGATAAACTGCAAAGCTTCCTTTTGGTTGTGACCGTCGTGTCAAGGTCACTGATGAAATACAATGTCAATATATCTCTGCCATCAGTCAATACTGATTTGCATAGATCGCACACGAAAAGCAAGATATATCCAAACTATTTTACATCGGTGACCATAACTTCATCACGACAGCTGCAACCAATTGGGTACCAGGTTTTAGGCAACTTTACAGGAGAAAACACTAAGCTTGGAAACAGTTTTGGTTTTCGTGATACTTGTGACATTTCGCTTTCATCCCCCTTGTCACATGTCATGAAAGAATATCAAAAATTACATAATCAGTTATGCAATGACGGGAAAATTGTTTTAGAAGATAAAGAATGATGCACGTAGCAATATTTTGACTGCATGGAAACGAAATAATGCCATATATTTTACAACCTTTAGGTTCATGTTAGGATAAAAGTATCTTATATATGTCAGCATTTATTCCATACTGTGACCTTGCTGGGACTCCATGTCTTCTATTTTACAAAAGCTCTTAGGTTTAGTTTTGAGTAAAAGTATACTGTATATATTAGCGAAACATTTATTGAACGGCACTATAAGCGTTCAGTGAAGCAATTTGAAGCAGAAAGAATTCTAATGTCTAAAGAATCTTCCAACGTATTGATTAGAATTTCGACTACATTGTAGCTAACATTCGATGTAATTCTTCCATCACATGGGATATTTCTAATATATCAGACACACAGATACAATTTGATGCTAGGATTCCAACATTACTAAGTCTAAAGCCCAGATGAGGTCGAGGATGAGAGTTCATGAGAGTTCAGTGGCAGTCATGCGACATTAGATAGCTCTTCTTAATGCTTTCCTATCGTGTATTCTATTTAAGTTAAAACATAAACGTTGGAACACGGCTCGCCAACTGAAACTTCTATTTGTTAATCTAGAGCTTGAAATGTCCCCTATACAACAATTAATGCATGATTGATCGGCATCCTTCGTTATACTCTCTGACACAAATACGAAACTGGTGAAACTTCGACCCAATTTTGTGTATTAATAACCACTCGTTGGTTTCCTGTGTAGCTTTAGTGCATTAGTGCTTTGATTTTATAGATCGCTGTATAAATGTTCTAGTTTATATTGAATGGTCATACATTGAACATTGCTATAAACTTCTTCCATAATATTCGATTTTCGATATAAAACTGTGGTTCTCATGCATGAAAATACAAGAGAAAATATGTCTATTTGCTTGAACCTACAATTTAAAAGCAGAGTTTAGAATGTCTATAGAACTTGGCAATATGCATGGTTTTGACTTTGGGACTTATTTTTTATATTAATCCAACTCGCATGACCTAAATTTTCTCAATTTCCTGTTTACTGAAATTACAAGGAAAATCCTGTGAAAATTCCTCAGACAAGAATTCAGGCCTCACACAAGGGTCAGAAGGGTGTTGGGCCTATTACATCGATGAAAACTAAACTATGCATATCTTCGAAACCGCAAGATTCCACTTCTAATTTTGCAGTGGCAAAAACAACGCCTATAAACAATGCTGTAGATGAACTTATATTTTTTCTGTTGCTTGATTTTATTTCCGAATTTACCAAACTTAGAAAAATGTTTGTAATTTATGCACAATATAGCAATACAAAATTACTTGATTTCTTACATATGAAGTTTTTAAGCAAAGCATTTTAGACGATTCACTGTTAGTTTTAGCATTCTCTATAGCCTACATAAGACGTTTTGTGGGATTAAAGTATGTTGATATCATTATAACACAGATAAGAAAAAATACCATATTCCTTTCAGGCTTTTTACTCATATAAATGTTTAAAGAATTAGGTTTTCAATAACTGTATATCTTCTCGAAAATCTGTACCTTTTTTTCTTTTAAAAATGTGATACTTGTATGACTCAAGAGTCATGAGATCTTCAATTGTGGCCAAAGGGCATACACGGTGACAATTCGTTTGAAGTAAAACACGAATGCCAAGCTTGTTGACTTTTAATTGTAATTTATTTCGCTTGAAATGCATCAAATAGGCAAACAGAAATCATGTCAAATACGAAACAGTATGAATTATGTTTCTGTTTTTTTCAATGAGATTATAAAGTATTGTACTATTATTTGACTCTATATAGTCGTAGAGTAAAAAATTCAGTTGTTTTGTGTGATGGCCATGTTATAATCCGATTGCTATCTTATTGCCATGCACGTAGCAATTTGATTTTGAAATATAATTGATAGAATGCTGTCGTAATTGTTTTAGTGTGTAGATATTTATATTAAAAGCGCCTGCTGCACATATAGATATTGAGAGTTTGAGACGCTATACGGCTTGACAAAATTAGAGGTGCAGAAATAATATTAACTGATTTCGGGAGTCTTAGCTTGCATGAAGATATAACTGTACACTTGTCTTGTCTTGTACAATGTCTGCATCTGTATGTTTCAAACTGGTAAACCGTTGAAATTAGAGAAATAGAAGCATGGGCCATTGGCGTAAAAAAGGACTGCCAGTCTCAATATTTGATTCTTCATGGGAAGACACCACGTCCACAAGTTTTGAATTTCATGAAGTAGAAATTCAACTTTCTTTGCTTGCAGGGGTTGGCAAACATGATTACAAAAATTACCCACTATTGATAGATACTCAGAAGTCTTGTCTCTAACTTGTCTTATGCGCCGATTTGATATAAAAGAAGGGTGACATAAAATGCCAACTATTACTAACGAATCAATTGATAGTTGGCAACATGTACATGATTTCGTACATGACGAAAAAATCAACTTAATAGTAAATTGCATGCAAAAACATTTCAAAACATATTCTGATAATTCTGCATGTGCCCGGAAAGTCTTATGCAAGTTAAACTTAACAACACTAACGGTCATGCAATATTGCAATTCAGTTTGGCATATTGTACAACTAGTTTTTGTCATGATGAAAAAATAACCTTTCCTTGAAGTGTCATGCAAGCACATTTGAAAACATATATTATATATTTCTACATGGGGTAATGGGGAATCAGAAGTCAGGTTTTATAAAATTAAAAGAAGGCCATTCTACTGAACTTGAAAGTTAGAAGGAACCCCGAAATGTATAGGACAAGTGGATTTATACTTGAGGAAATTATTTGCATCAAATGTAAATATGTAATCAATAAATTTGAAAAGTCAAGCACATGGGGTCATAGGACATATATGAATATTTTTATTGAGATACGGAAAAGTCGTATTTGTTAAATAAATAGCCAATAACGTCCAGTTGGGATCCAAATAAGGTATTATATACAATATTAGCAAGATAAAAAGAAAGCCACATTGCAAGATAATAAGTATCATGAATCCTATATCTCTTTGAAATTGCTGCACTGGGGTTTTAGTTGTTTAAACCATGAAGCATATTTCTAGTGAATGGCCGTTATTAAATAGCTAGTGCATGTATGAAAGCTGTGTTCATGGAACTTTTGCTTGAAACTGATTTCGCAAATATGACCATGTGTCTCTAATTCCTATCAACTTAGCCTATGCAACACATGTATGGCGACAAAAGGTAGACAACTATTCATGATAGCCAATACATTCTACCCGAAGGCAAAGCGAGAGTAAAGGTAAAGCGGGAGTAAATTCTGTAAGTGGGACAAAAATATTCACCTACTACTGTACTTTATTTTGGTATTTGATTAGAGCGGGAACTAAGGTCCATACCGATTGAAAGTCGAAAGCATCATATGAGTGCAACAATGCTGAAATTCGAAGCTGGCCCTCAGAAAGACAATCGCTCGTTGTTTCGTAGCTTTTTTAACCAGATTAAAAATAAAGAACAAAAATTTAAAGAAAACAGTACCTCTTTTATCATGTTCTCCATCCTAGCCCAGGCTAGAAGCGCATATTTGAAATAAGAAACAAACCTGAATACGAGCTCGAAACACAAGCTGTCTTACAGGTGACTAAGTGTGTATGTCAATTGAACGGGAAGTGCTACGAATATACGAATAAACTATGTGTAAAAACCTGATATGCATAAGCATGCAGGGCAAAATATCCTCAACGAGGGTGTGTTTATACGATTCTCTAAATAAACCTTCGAGAAGACTTTAGTTTGGGAGGCTCACACTCAATAAATAGCTTCGATCATTCTGGTGTGCCGGCGAATGTTCTCGTTGCCAATTAGAAACCGGAAATGCGTGTTTCGAGCAGCGTGGAATATTCTCGAAACAGTACATAATTTATTCATGACGTTTTCGCCCGTGAAAACAATCGCCGGCACTTCGACGAGTGCTCGTAATGTTCTAGAACAATCGCTTGTTACTTTGTATGCTCAGTTGTCATGGATTTTAGGGCGCATTTCAATGTGTGTTAAAACAGTCTAAGAACTCATTGAAACATACCTAAAATAAACTACAAGACAAATAGTTGTATACTTTACTCCCTACGACTACGTTTGCTCTTTAAATTGTTAATTAATGGTGCTGTCTTTTTGTTTTGGCCTACTGTAAAAATTTCGTGTTTTTCTTGCGCTTTTAACCAGTGTGGAAAGTTTGTATCGTACGGTGGATATCTCCAGCGCGCAATTTTGATGCTTTCTATATATTTACTATTAAATTTTAGAAATCTCCGGCGTGCAATTTCCAAACTTTCCAGTCTGGACTGTCGCTTTACTTGTTGGAAAACGTCTGAGGATACTTTTAAAATATTTCATGTTTTGGTGTAGAGTCGGGAAGAAAAATAAGTGTATTTTAAAATGCACATTTTTGTGACGCAAAGTTTCATTTTCTGGTGGGTTGTTTTTCGGTTTTAAAGTTGTTGGCTCCACTTGAAGTGTCGAGCGACGAGCGATTTTCGATTCTATTCGCCAGGCGTTCGTTGCATGTTCGAGTCGCTTCGGGAGCGCGATAAAATGGCATATTTAGCATTTAATCAAAACAGTTGGAATATAATCACGCAGCCCAGCTGTGATTTGCCTATTTTTAGCAGTTTCAAACTCGGATATGGGACTTTGTTCCCTTGTTCCCTTATTCGCCCTGCTGGGAGTTTGCGGTCAGCGCAAAGCATCTTGGGATATAGCTATTTAAACGCAGCATCAAAATGGTTGAGAATATTTCAGACATGAGTGTGATACGTGGGACTTTGTTGAGCATGGAAAACCGCACTTTTACGATTTCGTCGGGTGTTCCTGCATTCCTTGCGAAGTTATGGAAGCTAGTGGACGACCCGTCGTCCGATCATTTGATTTCATGGAGTCAAGTAAGTGCTTATTCCAAGCTTTCGATTTTACCAATATGGCTTCCTCATTTTATGGCTTATATGTTCCGCGTCACGCACAGCACATGCCCGAACTACAAGTGATTTATAATCCTGCACATTTTGCGTGTTGTTTTGTAGGACGAAACAAGCTTTATTGTTCACGACCAAGTCACATTTTCAAGAGACATTCTACCCAAGTATTTCAAACACAACAATTTTGCAAGCTTCGTACGACAACTGAATATGTGTAAGTCTGTGTAAACAGAAAATATCTTCTTGTAATCTCGCAAATCGAGCGTTAATATACTAGATTTTTATGATAACATTTTGTAGTGTATTTGTTGCTACACAAGTCGACTGTATTAATTTCAATCCTTTAGCTTAGTGGTTGGTCTTTTACACTTAAATAGATGCCCCACCGTTTTATGACTTTTGTAGGCGTCGGTATATATGTGCGAAATATTTGAAAAGGCTTTATAGCACCCACTACAGCATGATGCAACGTGAAAATGCTTGTTTTTATTTTTAAAACCTGTTTACTATCATAAAGTATGAGTTCAATACTATATAGTAATTTTATTTTGCATCAATGGACAAATCCAAGCATTATTAACATGTAGTCAATAGTTGAAAGAATAATTGCTGTAATTTTTTGTGTGTAGTGAAATGTTAAAATGCTTTACTGTAACATTAAATTAAACATGATTCGTAAAGTTAATTTGCAACTTTATTTTTTTTAAATGGGGGCTGTGCCATTGTAGGTCAGTGGGTGTATTTTTGGCATATAGGGGAAATATTAAATATGAAGAGAGCATGTACAAATTGAATGTAAATTCCCCAAGTAAACGGAATGTAATATGTATCATTAGCACTGTGTAAAATGTGTGTTAGCAACAATAGTTTATGTCTTGATAGTTGTTAATTCGTGCCTCAACTTGCCTCGACCATGAGTGATAAAAGAAAGTACTATGGATTTAGTTTTGCAATTTGGCTAGTTGTTACAGCCTATTTACGTGTAATTAATTTTTTGACATTTCAATCAACTGAAAGCGAATGATAGTTTGTAAATTGATATTACTTGTGCAAATAGCACGTTGATTTTCTGAAAAAAGTTGTCGAAAGTATAGATTCCATATGTTCAGTAATAAAAATAAGACTACAGTCGAAGGGGCTGTTTATATGGAAACCCCAGGTTGGCCCAATGAGATTGTGCCATATTTCTACAGTAGAAATTTTGTTTATATGGCAACCAAGCTGCTGTAAGATTTCCATGTTATGTTGTTGTTAATTCTGTGATTCCCACTGTTCAGTGTGCATAAAGTTTTAAGTGGACACTAATAGCCCAAGATAATTGCCCCCATACACACACCCAGATACCTTTTATAGTACAATATGCCTGTATACTCGCAGGCTTTGTTGTGGTAATTAAATCCTACTGTGGGCCCAACTTAAATTGTTCTATTTTAGTACAACTATGACTCTGAGCAATGCATAATAATATCAGGATACAAATGAATGTTTGTACAGTCACAGAAACTTTAGTCAAAACAGCACATGCTACATATGGTCATCAACACCCCTGTAATTGGTTCGTTGGGATTTTATTTTACTAAATTTTATGGCAAAAATGTGAGTTGACAGCAGCATCACATGATAACCTAGCAAACCACAATGTGCCTCCCCAAATTGTATTATGATTTTGCAGTGTTTAGGTATAACACAGTATTAACTCTGTTAATTTGGTTAACTGGTTATTCAGAGAAAACTCTCAGGAAATTCAAAGACGTATATATGAAAATACTGTATTAGCACTTAAGTAACATATTGTATGTCGTTGTTTTAATGGTTGGGTAATCAAAGCATTCAAAACAAAGTGCTTGAAAGTTTTAATGCATGCTTAGAAATAGGATGGCTTACTTGGTCAGTTTTTTCTCAATATATTCCATTTCCCATTGAATCTCACTGCCTTTGCTAATTTTATCTTATTCAAAGAAAATTTTGTTGAATTTGTTTAGATGGATTCCGTAAAGTAGTTGGTGCTGAACAGGGTGGTTTGAAAGCAGAAAAAGACGACTGGCAATTTCAAAATGCTAATTTTATCCGAAGCCAACCGCGATTACTTGAAAATGTCAAAAGAAAGGTATAAAGTTCAGATGAAATGCTAAGTTATATTTGCATGCAATCATAACTATGTGTTTCTTAGAATTATTTGTACTGATATGATTTGTGGTGTAACTTTATTTAAAAATATTGCCTTATTTTTGCAGTCAACTCCAGACGACAAAAAAGTAAAGGGTGAGGAGTATAATCGTGTCTTGTCAGATATTCATCACATCAAAGGAAAACAGGTTGATATGTCATCAGTACTGGACCAAGTTAAAATGTAAGATATGGAAATTACTTGTACAATGATGTTAAAAAAATGTTCACTCATTTGGCCACAATGACCTAATCTGCAACTCTGTTTTTTTACTCTATCTAATGCCATGCAATTTTACTTGTCAAGCAAAAGTATTAGACATTGAATGATAGAAATTTCATCTGTTTGACAGGGAAAATCAAAGCTTGTATCAAGAGCTTGGGGACTTGAGACAAAAACACGAGGAACAAGAGCAAGTGGTAAACAAGGTAGACTAATTTTTTTACATAAATTATGATATGTTAATTGTAGACAAATTAAAGCTTTCCTTTTTGTTCCACAGCTAATTCGGTTCCTGATGAAACTTTTGTATTCCAACAATGGTCTCACAAACAAAAGGCCGTTGATGTTGACAGGACCAGAATCTGGTAATCCCAAACGACAATGTACGACAGGGGTTAATATGGATAATCCAGGGGCATCTCAACAGGATTCATACAATATGAGGGTAAGTATTCTTTTCTTTAGTACATGTATTTTTGGATGAAACAACATAAGCAACTATTTAAATTTATCCTATAGAAAATGAGCAGGTACTAACAACTAGCCTCTGTCATTTCTTATAATAGTCTCCCCCAAGACCAGGCGGTATGACGGTCACACCCAACAGTTATCCAGGTAAGCACAAAAACCACAGTAAGATAAATTAGCAGATTACATACAATGTTTCTTAGTGTGTCAATCGGATGTCTCAATGGGGTATCCCAATAACTCTGCATTGGTCAAAATGCTGGTACATTCTGCCAGAGATGTTGGGTTTAATTTCCAGTTGGGACACTCGAAATTGAATTTTTGGCAAAATATTCAATAGTCAACTTAATTAAGTTGCACATATTATGCATTAGTTCGGACACAACTTTTACTGGCAAACAAACAGCTTATCAACGTGGTGAGCTGAGAAGTAAATGATACAACTATTAAATTGTTTCTTTAATCTTCGTTGAATTTTAGAAACATCTGGTCCAGAAATCACTCCAGTTGATGATCCAGAGGACTATGTTGGCATTTCCATTTCCGCTGTTCGTCCAATTGTTAACGAACCTGGAAATCCGCCCAGCACTTCAGACGAGACCTATCATCCCTTGCGGCATCTTCCTATCGAAAGCCAAGCACAAAGTCATTATTCTGAAGACTACCGCAGCATGCCATCTCAACAACCAAGAATTGTGCAACCTTCGGTACAAACATACAATCCTGTATCAACAATGTGTATTATGCCAAGCAGAAGTACTCCAACCACTGTGTCATCACAAGTTCCTAATCCTATCAATAAGTAAGTGAAATATAGGTATATTTTCTGACGCTGTGACTATGGCCTTCTGAGAGATGTCCAGAACAAGACACTTAATTAGGGTCGGACGATATCGTTTATCGATAAAACCGAAAAAAAACTGTTTTTTCAAAAAAAACAACAATTCAATCGATTTTTCTTTTGACAAAAAACCGGGAAAAATCTGGTGGATTTCTGGCGTATAGCAGTGGCTTGCAAACAATTCATATTCTGTACCCTGGCTTATTTCAGATGGAAATTTTCATTAAAAAACATCGGTTTTTTCGGGGTTTTCCAGACTGTTTTCAGTTTTTACCCTGAACCACCCGACCCTACACTTAATGTACAGGGTTTTCCATGACTTTGCACAACTGTTGTTGTGACAAAAAGTTGGATCCCCTCAAAATCTTCTTCCCTACCACATCGATTCTACTCTGACTCAATCAATTTTATTTAGGGAGCAATTACAGAATCACGTCCAGTACATCGAAGACAATCTGTACTCATTTCAAAATATCCTGGCTGGTGGGAATTACAATGACCCAGGCATGCTGGATGTAAGTTCATACATGTTAACTGCATTGTACCTCCTAATTCCAACACAAAAGGTGCAAGTTTATTGCAAGTGAACTGTGTTCATAGGATGTTTTGCTGTATCTCTGTACTTATTTTGATAACATTCTTTTGTGTCCAGGATTTGTTGGATTCCATTGTTGATGGTCGTGAGTCCCCAGGGAGTCAAACAGAAAGAGGTGAGACTGCATATGGCTTTTAGGTTTCATTAAAACTAGCAAATACAGTACGGTGATCTAAAATTAGACAACATTTTCATGGCAAATACAGTACAGTGATCTAAAATTAGACAACATTTTCATGAAGACCTCTTACCATTCTTCTAATATGGTGGTACCATAAGCTACTGTGGTTTGTGCCTGAACTATGATGAAACAGATATCTCAGACATGGTGGTCCAGTGTAATTAGTATTCAACAATATCAATGTGCCATGGTTTGTGAATAAGATGCAAATCACTAAATGGCTGCTAACTTGTAGGAATATCGATACCGGAAAAATTATACCGATATCATCGGTATACCGGTTTTTCACCTTTTACTATAAATTAAATAGGAAAATTCCTTAGTGGAAATTTGAAGGAAATTTTGATGTGCCTTTATTATTTTATTCCATCTATGCCAGATGATTTTGCTCATGAAGGAGAGAGCATTGCACTCGATGGGTTAAGACACAAACCACAGCAGCTTATTAAATCATTTTCTTGGGGGCAAAGATAAATTTAGTATGTCTCCATGTTAATTTATAATGTACTTTGCACTAACAGAGCCTGTTTTTCATAGTTCGTGATCCCTACCAGACATCTCAAGCAGCAAGCGAGGTTTCATCGCCGCCATCCACCACCTCGTCCCATGGTCATTCACCCAGATACAGTCAACAACAAATCCCAGGAAAACACATTAACTGGTCAGTAACCTCTATGTTGCCAGATCAAGACAGAGCTGCTTCAAGAAGATATTAATATATAGAACTGCTGATCCAAATTGGGTTAATTTTGTATGTGCGTGTATATATTATGTACAGGTATACAGAACGGCCAGATTTATACTAGAGAACTATGTGCAGTCTGGACGAACTTGGTGAAGAGATAGTTCGTCTGACACTTTTCTTTCCGAAGCTCGCTCAGTGGTGCTTCTTTTAAAAAAATGAAACTCCGCCCTTGGCCAGTATAGATTGTGATAATCTAACTGGTTCATCTGGATAGTTGGTGTTGTGTTTTCACTAAGACATATGATAGGTCTCCAGTATAAATCCAGCCCATTTGTATAGTGTACATATATATATAGATTCGTGTATAACCTGTGACAGCGGTAATATATTTTGAACATGGGATTTTAGTCGTTCAAAAATAGTGGAACTTTGTCATGGTAGTCCAACGCCAATATGCCTGGTATATCCGTGATCTGTGGGAAATTGTGTGACTTTTCTTACCTCCGCGCTATTCACCTTATGTCATCTGTGACGCTTGGTTACATTTGTGGTTTACAAGGTACATCTGGGATTTTCGGTGCCTGTGGACACACCTTTGCATTGGCGTAAAATATACTTCACTGAGAAGTTCGATGGTAAAACAGAAGAGTGTAATTTGTTAGATAATTAGTATGCAATCACGAGGCAGGTTACTTGTGTTCTTAGAAACATACATTTTAAAACACTATATTTTTAGACAATTATCAATATAGTTTTAGTTCAATTCAGAAACAATTATAGAGAAATTAAATTGAATGTAAAATAGAATATCTGATTATAACAAATGAAATGTGCGTTTGTTCTCGATACAATTGTTGCATGGTTTCGGCAAAGCCCGGATGAAACGAGCATGAGAGTAAACTGTTCTTAAAGTGCTCATGAAACGAAATTTTTGCCTCATTTTTTGTTTTATTAAAAGGTACTGCTCAAATGATGAAGAATTACGTTTACAGTTTATTTGTATCTCATCTCATTCCGTCACAACTCAAAATATAGATGATAAGTGTGATAGCTTGAGAATGAGATATAAAGAAGCTATAAACGTCATTCTTCATTCCAGCACTACTTTTTAGAAAAACAATAAAAAAGAGGTAAAAATATCGTTTCATATGAACTTTAATACTTTCCCAACACTATCATGTATTCTATTAGGAACACTCGTCAAACATTTATTTTGTAAATCTAGAGCTTGAACTGTTTTCAGAGGTTCACATGGGGTTCCGAATCTCCGACCGGACATACATACCTTATATCACCTTTGATTAACCATACAAAACCAAATCATCGTTCATCGACTTTGTTCCCTCGAAATGTCACGCTTCCAGAACCGTGCTGGTCACAGATGGTATGGTTACGACAGACAAGGGGATAGGTACTCTCGACACTCGAATGTACGACCACATGGTACAGACTACAGTTACGTACGGCCTCGTAGAATGCTGGTTGCCGTCAAGGAAGGAATGTTACATCCTAAACCTCCAACATATAGGAGACTAGATATGGATGATTCGTTGCATAAACTACCCATAGAGCATTGTAGGACGTCTACCTCGAGAGCAGTTGGTAATATATTATGATGTAGTAAAAATTTTATATATTTATATAAGCATTTGTTGTTTCACAGAGATGGGTAAGCCGGTAACTAATCTATCCTGATATTTGTTTTAAAATTAAACTGATGGCCAGATTGAAGTTTTACTGTAAATCAGGCTTTTGTCAATTTTACGAATGAAACATAAATAATAAGAACATATAATCACCGTTCTTACATTATTTTAAGATTTTTAACTATATTTTGTCATTTTGTCATGTGGCGAGTATACGCACCGTTGCGTTGACAACAATGTCCTAACAATAACATTAAACAGGTCATAAGGCCAGGTACCTTTAACGTTGTCCTAAAATAAAATATTTCCATATATATAAGATGCTTTGTACGATAAAGTTAATGAAAAAGCCCCAGTCCAAAAAAATTATGCACTGGCACCAATCTTTACAAAGCTAAACGTGTAGTTCAACCAACCAAACTCAATTACTACAATTATGTAGCATCTTCATAATCGTTTCAACAATTATTGCTGTTCGACTCTCTTCTTTGTTTTTAGTACATGTTTAATATTTTCATAAAACAAATAATCAACATTTTCAGTTAGCCATGCCATCAAACCGTTCGTTTATACTGTAGTAGAATTTTACCACAATACGAGCGTTTGAAAATTTTTATTCGCTTTTACCTAATTTGGGTACGAGACTGCCTAATTTGTAACATTTTGTAACAGTTTTACCTTTTGCAACATTTTAGTTTTAAATTTGCAACTTTTTGCAAAATTTTAGTCACTTGGGACGTTTGTAATTGAGACATAACTAATTGATATAAAATATGTATGAAAATGTCTTTCGATTATCTTACGTCAATAATAGGCTTTACTTCTCTTGAACGGCGCAAGCTAATTGGTCGAAACCACAAATAGGGGATTAATTTACACGTTTGCATTTGTTTTGGAAATACCAACCAGACATTTGAGGCAAAACATTACAAGTCAATTCAGCCGGTAAAATGTTTTTCAATTCGCAAACGCAATTTCCTTCGTTGGAAGGGCCGAAATTTAACCGTGGATCTATGATGCTAGCTTCTGCAAAAGAGGGGTTGTATCATCCACGTCTGCCGACCTTCAGACGAATGGATATGGACACAGTGTCTCAGAAATTGCCTTATGAACATAGCAGAACAACTACAAATCTAACTAGAGGTATCTTTTTGGCATTATGCCATGCTTTTGGTTCGTGCTCAGCTATTTCTTTGTAGATCACAATCAATATGCTTTAGCTATTATTATCTTTAGTTAGTTAAAAGTTTTATAATGTCTGGTTTGTTTATAATTTTGTTTTTTATTCTGTCTATAAACAGATGACTTTCGACACGCTGCTGTGACTTTATTTAAGAAGACCGAGGAGCCTCTGCCAGAAGAGGTCAGCTAATTTTGTTATTTTTATTAATATATTGTGTTTTATATTTACTTTTGGATGAAAATTGAAATGAAATAACATGTGAAAATGAAATGCGAGTGTTGTCAAGGAAGCGTTCTCTTGTTGCTAACGTCTGGGTTTAAATGGCTCCGTGCGTCCACACATGGACAGGAGTACAGGGCACTAGCAGGACATAAATTGTGGTTAATTAAAAGGCGGAATGGCATGCAGAATGAGTGTGAAATGTATTAGGATTGGGTTAGAGTTAAAAATGTCTCGAATTTTGCGATCGCATGCCATTTAGTGATGCCATTCCGCATGTTCCACACGGACATTCTGCCTTTTACATTCACCATATGAATTGCATCGTGCTCAAAATCATTTGCATGATTCTAACTTGCATTTACACGAAATGCACGAAAGTGAACGAATTTACGCGGTTCCATATAACTCAGTCCTGGTTCGTCAGAACGTGGTCTTTACCGACCTTGACCCCCTGTATCGTCAGTCGTCACGGGGGTTTAACCCTAACAACTTTTGCTTGTTTTAAGATTGCAAATTTATTTTTAGTTCAGCGTGGAAAGGCGTCCAGCGACAGATTATGGTCGACCTCTCACAACATCTATACGTCAAGATTCTCTTACCAGGTTTGTAAGTGGAAACGTATATAGCATTAATTAAAGCTCAATTTTCTGGCATGAACAAATTTTGATAGAAATTTTGATAACCATATTAACCATGATATTTTGTAAACCATGATATTTTGAACATAACCATGATATTTTGTAAACCACCCTTTTAACTTCGTCTCAGAAGTATTTAATACTGTTTATACTAGCCATTAACAGGGGGCAAGACATATTTTGAGGTCTTTACCTTTCGATGAAACTTAATGAATAATGTTTTCCCATACAGACAAAGTCAAAGGCCATATACCAATGCTGGTTTTGGAGAGGATTTAAGAAGGATGCATCCAGACAAACTTGGAGAACTTTTCCCTGCATTTCGTAGAGGTAAAAATACGCTTCTCTCTGAATATCAATTGCAATATATACGACTTGACTTAGCTCCTACGAGTTGATAGTTATCGCTAACCCTCTTTTCTGCAAAGACCAAAGTGCAGAACGTATCTTATTTTTACTATTTTATTACAGAACCTGATGAAAGCTCATTCTCAAACAGATATAAGTTTCAATATATTCCACCTCGCGTTTTCCCAGAACAGGTGAATGTAGAAAAATTGTTGTCTTCATTCAGTACGATATGTGAATCTAAACTTGCCCTTATTTTTCATCTTTTGTAGTATTCAAAGGTTCATTTTGTTGACTGGACTGGAATAAGACCAATTCCTGCCAACACATAGTAAGACATTTCATGGGAGTTTTCTTAACACTAATTAGTATAATTACATAGGTGATTATTGAAAATTCTCCACGCTGATTGGTTGCCGTTGAGGTGATTATTACGCGATAATCACCTAAGCGATTTTCAAAATGGCGGCTGAAGCCTTTTTGTCAATTAAATGACGACGAAATGTGTATTTTCTTATTTTTTCCCAAATAATCACCTATGAAATTATACTAAAACAATTATTCACCTCAGGCTCGGTGATTATCGTGAATAAAAACCTCGACTTCGTCTCGGTTTTTATTCACCGATAATCACCTCGCCTTCGGCGAATAATTGTTAAATAATGCGAAATCTCTAATATTGGTTATTCTAATTTCCAATTTTACAGCAGTCGATACAGAGACGCTCATCCGATGTACAGGTATATCTTACAAATGTTTAAATTGGCATGTGCGATTTCTGAGTGGAATGACATAATTTTAATTTTATATTTCTTGTTTTTTTGTAGCGAGAATATTTCCTCCAGATCATGGAGACCTTGACTCTCGAAAAGAAGATTTTTTAATAAAACTGTGTTTGTAATAATCTTAAAATTAAAGTCAGTGTTTGTAAAATTATGTAAAATTCTGCGCGCAATCTTTGAGCAAATCAATGACAGACTGACTTTCATTATCAGGAGAGCCAAGATTTGATCGGCGTATATCTGAAAATAAGGGTTGATGAGAGCTGGCGAGCTACAGTTCCCTTGAGAGCTTTTCAATTTCATCTCTCACATCCCGTCTGAGGGGAACAGGATTTGCATGAGAGTTGATGACCTGTGTGGCTGTGTCAGTTCGGAGCCGGAGGTTGGCAAAAAAACTCGTATATTAAACTCTCATCAAAATTTGAACAGTGCACAAAGTTGATGCGGATCAGATATTTGTTAGAGTTATTACTATAATACATGTTCAAAAACTAGTCACATGTCACAAGTTTTAATTAAGTCAAAATAAACCGGCCCCTAAACCACTGATCAGTAATGGCGTTTGCACCCACCATTGGTTGGGTTCCTGTGGAATGTGTGATCTGCTGACAGTCCGATCCAATCTCGTACCCAGAGCAATGCCTGTGCGCGGGCTAGGATCCCACATCCTAGCCCGCGCACAGGCATTGCTCTGGGTTACGAGATTGCTTATACAGCTCAGTGGATTGCTGACAGTCATTCTAAAATAGCTCGGAATTTGTCGACGTACGTCGTACAGTCCCGAGATCCCGAAGAAGTGCCGGGCTTTTCCGAATTTTAATTTTTTTACCGCGTGGTGAACTTGTGAAGAAATATGTGGAGAAGCATAGTTAATATAGAAGTATATTAACTATGGGAGAAGCAAGGAAGAATTAAAATGGAGGACATTTTTTTATCAAATTTTATACCTTTATTGGAAGGTAATATGCTTTATTTAATATCAAACCTTATAGTAGAGTACTTAGATTGCCAATATAGATTGAAATTTAGGACATCGAGCCCGAATTTAATGCCAGATTTCGACATAAAGTTTGTGCTTTTGCTTTGCACGTGGTTCGATTTTCTAATTTCTATAAGCGATTGTCGAACTTTAAACCAGTTTTAATTCATAATTATTGTCGAACAAGTCAGTAAAAAGACTAACTAAGATCAAGAATTGTTTAAGTTGTTTTAAGTTGTTTTAAGAACATTTTTATATTAAATGCCATATACAGAGACGAGGCGCTTGGTGGGACCATGGATAATAAATAGTAAAATAAATCTTTATTTTATTTTATTCATGGTGGGACGAATATTTCATCATCTTGTACATTTCAATCTTGCAACAAAATATTTTAACAATATGGTAGAAGTACCCTTGCTTTAGCAACATTACAATGTATTTTAAGCACATCTACTCCAGGCCCAAAAATTTGCAACAGCATAGGGTCATTCCATTTATTATCCGCACCCCCCCTATGGATGAGCTCTGGTAAAAATGTTACCTGTAGGAATCGGATTTCAGAGAAGTACCCTGTTGGAATCGACAGTATCAATCTAAACCCTAGGAATGCTGCTAATTGCCAATATCTCACTGGTAGGAATCTGCTAATTGCCAATATCTCACCGGTAGGAATCTGCTAATTCCCAATGTCAGACCGGGGGGGGGGGTGAGAATAATAAATGAAATTATTATGATTCTCATAATAAATATTTGGCAATATAGTATGCTACACCTTGACGGCAATATCTGACCGGTAGGAATCGGGCCAAAGGAATCTGTTAATTCCCAATATCTGACCAGTAGGAATCCCCTAAGTCCTAATATCTGACCGGTAGGAATCCGCTCATCCATAGGGGGGGTGCGGATAATAAATGGAATGACCCATATTTTCGACATTGGCTGGCACGGATTCAGAGAATGCTAAAAAATAAAAAGGCGGACAGTATTTTTCAATTTAAAAGCATATTAAGTTGACTATTGGGACAAAAAAATTCCAATCAAATTTTACCATTTCCAATTGGTCAGCATTTTTCGAATCTATTTTGAATGTTATGCACTAGTCATTTGAAATACCAACCCCCAGGACTAAGTGGGGTTTTAGCAGGGGAAATACAGGATTTTAAAAAACATAATTTTCTAGTAGCTGGGGTTTTAACACTAGCAACAAGCAGCGGGGCACATGTGCTGGGTTTCAATGACCAGGTTTTAACCACCATTTTAACATGCGCTTGGAGTAGGGTCTGAGAACTAATTAATGTATCGCATGTTTTTATGGTCTAACATCCATGGACATTGAAGATGACTTTCTGACAATCTTTTCTTATTCAATATTCACTTTATTTTCTAATTTCTACTGTGAAAATCAGAGGAAATTGAACCTAAAACCTTCAATTTCATCTCGGAGATGGGTTTTCCAAGACTTTTAACAACTGAACTATATTTTTGAGCCAGGTTTTTAAAATTAAGTTCATGAAATGTTAAAATCCCTGCATTGTCCCAGGGGGTGGGGTTTCAAATGACTAGTGCAGAAAAAACACTATTCAGCTTTCATATCCTGAAAAAAGTAGGATGGGTACATGTAGCTAAAATAAAACAAATTTTCTTCAAATATTTTTTTGCCTTGACATTGGTCAGCAATTGCCGTGATCAGTTGCCATATTGCCACAGCATATAAACATCTCAAGAAGCAGTAACTGTGGGCAACAGTGTTTTTGTTACATCACAGGTTATTTAAGTTACATCATAAAGCAAACAACAAAAAATAGGGTAGGCAGGTAAGCAAACAACCCACATCTCAAGAAAAAATTAGAGCAAAGAGAATAGGGTTGGCTAGAAAACCAGAACCATAGGATATTGTTTTGTTTCAGACTCTGATGTTTATATTACTAGCCAAGCTATTCACACCCTCTGTAAAATTCTCATCAATTTTTGTAGATGTACAAAAAATTTTCCAAGAATGCCACAACACCTCATGATTATGAAAAATGGACACGTTCCAGGATCCTGAATGAGAGGTAAATTATTTTTCTTCTAATTATTTCTAACCTTCTCCTTTTAAATTATTTCTTGGACAATTTTTCTTCGTAATATATCAATTTGTTTCATGTTCTCAATAGCAAGTTTTTTTAATTTTCTAGATGTGTGTTGCAATTTCAAAGAATGTCTCAAGTTGTTGGCTGGAGTGTTTTTGATCACAAAAATGAACACTGTCATTGGAAAGTACATAAAAGGTCTTAAAATATTTTCCTGTTTTATCTTACATGAAATGTTTTGAACATTATATGATGGCCTGTGATCAATAGTTTAAAAAATCCTAGCAGATTATTGTAAAAATAGCATGACCATGTTACTTATGACACAAAATCCTCCTCGTGAGCCTCCTTGATAAGCCTCGGCTTTTGAGGCAAACATATTATTAATAAAGTTTATATAAAAAAAAAAAAATACAACAAAAGTAATAAATGCAATCTTTACACCTAAATATGATGAGTGCACAATAATTGCACTCTTTTTATTCTATTATTACACCACTATTTTGATTTGTATTTATTTTGAAAATTTCAGTTTTGTGGTTTCTCGATTACTTGATTAAGTTTTTTGTTGCCACTGATCACAGAAAGTCTATAATTTTCAAAGCATATATAAGCACTATATGAGCAAGCCAGAAAATGACAAACTGTTGGCTTTGTTATATCAGTTCAGCATTGAGAAGATTGAGGTGGTTTTTATTACAAACCAAAGTGGTTACTTACAAATAGAACATGTGACTTTATTAATTTTAATTCACGATTGAGTATTTTCGTATACTAGTTTTTTTTTTCATTAAAAGGATTAAAAGAACATCAATTGATGAACATTTGTCTTGTCACAATTTGTGTTTTGAACTTAACGAAGTGCATTGTGAAAACAGTAAACTTATGTTAATCCATCTCAGTCTTCTCTTTGTTTAAGTGGACTTTCAGTGTTTGTTGAAAGTTTGGAAAGTTTATCTGAAAATCACAATCACTAATGTTTCTTTCGATGTTGATTCTGGATGTTATTCGACTCTTCAAATATTGAGTCCTAAAAAGCAATTATTGATTGATTGAAGTATTCAATACTTTTAAAATTAGCACTGTTGGAACTGCCTTGTTCTTTAATAGTCCTGTTTTATTTATCCCAGCGCACTCTTAATACATGAGTTTAATTATTCCTGGACACAAATAAAATGGATTTGTTGAGGAACAAGGCAGTTCCATACAGTACTGACTTATAGAAGGGTTGTCTTCTTCAGTTGTTTTTTTATTCTTGTGTCAACCACATTGTCATTTAAAAAAAAATTTGAATTTTGGAACAACTTTCCCAAATTTAACAAACAGTTAAGGTCTTTATTACCAAGTGGAACTTATTTGAATATGGATGAACATCATGAACTGAAGCAGCAAACTATACTTAATTTTTTTTGGAGGGGGGTAATGTGAGATATAGAAAATGAAAGAAAAGTGATTGTCATGAATGGGAAGGAAAACCACAACCAGACTACAGGATGATGTTCCTTGGAATATGTTTTGTATTATAAGGAAGCAAAAAAAATCAGCATTCAAAAGTATATATTAATTGTTTGGCAAAGCAATGTCATAATTTTGAATATTGAGGCTGCAGATAAGATTGACAGTTCTAGCTTTGTGCTAGGTGTTAATCAATGTTTAATCCGATAAGATTTGATTCAAAATTCAAGCACAGAATTAACCATATTTTTAGTATTTATCAAAATTTGTGTGTGTTTCATCACAGACATGATAGGCAATGACTGAGATGCTCTTTATGTACCAAATTTTATAATTTGAATAAAAAGTTCTATATTTTTAAAATTTTATTTTGATTTAAATAATCTGACCTAATTAGTTAATTAAGGTGAAATTTTTAAGCTTGAATTTCATATTTTATTTTGAATCCGATTCAATTACTTTTGTACTTTGGTTTGGATACTGAGATGACAAGATTTTATCAATTTTTTATTGACCGGTTGTGGTTGATAATTGTTTGGTAATTAAAATTAATTTGTTAGGTTTCTATGTTACATGTATTTCTTTTGCTTCAGTTCAGCATTGTTTTCAAATAGTTCCACTTTGTAATGGTGTGTTATAATAGTCAATAATAATATAAGCAAACAGGTTTACATGGCACTCAAATGTGTAGCCGGTCTTTTCAACAAGTATGTAAGGTAAGTTTATACTTCAAAAAGGTCTGTTTTTAACCTGACAAGCATGCTGTCCAAAGTGAACTAAAAGCTAAAACTCAATCTTTGTGACCTTTCAATGAAATTTTGTGTGTTCAAATGACAACTGCTACTACTGTATATATCTTTTGATGTTTGGTTTGCTGTTGATACTATTGAATTGATGAAAATGCAGTTATATAATATTTTATTTGTTGAAAGAGATTCTAAGATCAAGGATTGTGTGGAAACTGTTTGTTCCTTGTGAGGACTTTGAGCAAAACTGTTTGTTTACTCTTGAGTTAGCAAAATATACCCAAAACTTATTTCCTGTTTTTTATTGTGTAAAAAAAAAGAAAATATTGTATGAACAATTGAAAGTTTTGGTTTAACCCTATTTTGTGTGTTTCTGTACATGGTCGCTACATGTTTTGCATCAAAAATATTTCCTGAAGTGTTTTTTCATAAGTGAAATTTAGGAGATGTTTGTTTCTAAGATAATGGATCAATGTGTATCATTTTAATGTATTTATCGAGGACGAGAAATGTACCATTTTCCTAAGCAAAGCGAATTGAAACTGAATATTTGTTCGGAAAAATCAATCAGAATTGGAGAAAAAACATTCTTTTAATTTGTTGAATTGCATTTTCATCACTTGAATTAGTATTAACATTATATATAAACAATTCGAAGTCGTCAGGTTAAAAACTAGATATATGGCTCCAAAAGACCGCGGAATAATTTCAAATTTTAAATATTTCTTGATTTGGCCAATGAAAGAAATTTTCTTGTAAATGTTCAATTGAGTATGGAACCAATGATCTAGTCGTAAATGTTTCGATGTTAAAAATATCATTTCTGAGTAAAGGACATTGGCAATAAAAATTTTTATTGCTTTATCTGAAAGAGCATGAAAAAATAAGCCGATTGGCCGTTTACTGCTCTGTTTTATCTCATCTGGTTCCGAAGTTATACGCAAAAATGTGCAGAATATAAATTGCTGATTCAGCACAACGTGTCACGTCATTAGCACAGAATAGGAAGTTATACCAGAAGCGTAACTCGAGCAAATATTTGTCCGCGTTTTTACAAGCGATTCGTCATCAATCACGCCATCCTGGCTAGTACAACTAGCGGCACTTTGTACCTACCAAATCCTGATAAAAACTTCCGGCTGTACTAGCCAGGATGGCGTGGCCTGACGTGAGCGAGTTAAAATTTTCGTGGACGTCAAACAATAAGGGAAACGACTAGAGTTACGCTTCTGGTATAACTTCCTATTCTGTGTCATTAGTTTATTGAATAGTAAACTGAAGCATAGCTCAGTTATTATTGGCTCAAATCAAATTTTGCATACAGATAGTACATGATGAGACGCATTGGAAAATACTTCCAATATTGTTGTCAAGGCAACACAGTCGTTCCCAGGCCCCTTACATTGATTTTGAATAACTAGTTGCATTTATCTATGTGTATGTCATTTTCGAATTATTATCATGCAAGTAAACTTTTGGCATGCATAGGTATCATACACATACTTCTGATATTACTTTATTCTTACAAGTACCATGAATAAAGCTGTTTTATAAAATTGGCACAAGGGGCCTGGGAACGACATTGTTACCTAGGCAACAAAATTGGAAGTGTTTTTCAATGCGTCTCATCGTGTACAATCAGTATGCAAAATTTCATTTGATTTGGGTCCATAATAACTGAGCTATGCTTCAGTTTAGTATTCATTAAACATACTTACCCAACTAATGACGTCACACGTTGTGCTGAATCAGCAACTTATATTTTGCACATTTTTGCGTATAACTTCGGAACTAGATGAGATAGAATAGAGCATTAAACGGCCAATCGGCTTATTTTTCCATGCTCTTTCAGATGAAGCAATAATTTTTTTGTTGCCAATACCCTTTAATGAAGTATGCTGTCAATGCATTGTCAAAATGTTACGGAAGGAAAATAAAAGAAAATAAATTGTTGTCAAGCACAATTTCTTGCAAACCACTTGACAACTGATCTCGCATTACAAACAACTTGGCATCTAAACATCGCGATAAAATTATTATTTTCCATACTCAAGCGAAAATGTTGGTCTGTTCACTAAAATCAGTTTGTGTTAAAAAAGCATGTTCGATTTATACTTTCGTCTTTGAGCCATATATTTTCTTTGTAAAACAACTTGGTGTTACGCTTTTGATTTCTCAGTGTAAAGTCTATCATTGGAGTTGTTTTACAATATTTATTTTGAAGTATAAACATTTATCTTGAAAAGACCAGGTTCTCTTGTTTCCTCAAGAATTAACTTTTTTAATGTTAATTCGCGGGCAAACAAGTTTTTTAATGTTGTGTTTTCACTTGTGCTTATTCACTTGTGATGAACACAATGTTAATTGTTCTCTTTGTGCCATGTTCTGTTTTCTTCTATTGTTATTATTTAAATAAGTATGCAGTGGTTGTTCTCTTTTTATTGGTATTCAATTTGTAATTACAATTCTTTTCAATAAATTGTTCATTAATTATACAAGAGACTCCTTTTTAATTAAAAATTCAATTCCCATGGGAATTGAAAAAAACAACAAAAAAAATTCCCCTACCCCGGCCGGCTCCCCAAGTGCTACCTCTACTTCAAGCAGAAGTACTTCTACTATGCAGTAAA